TAGAGTTTTCAGTGTCCAGATCTTTCACCTCCTTGGCCATCATCTGTTTTGTTTGATGTTATTATAAATGAGAATAAATCTTTATTTCTTTTCCTGATTTTTGTATATTTTGCACACAGAAATGCCATTGATTCCTGAATGGTCATTGTGTGTCCTGCCATTTACTGTTTGTTTTTAAGTTTTTACCATTTTTTGTGGAGTGTTTAGGGGGGTTATATAAAAGATTGTATCATCCACACAGTTTTATTTCTTTCTTTCCAGTTTACATGGTCTGTGTTTCTTGTCCTTTTCTCATGGTTCTGCCTAGGACAGTTAGTGTGAGTTTCACAGGAGTGGGGAGAGTGGGCTTCCTTGTCCTGTAGCTGATCTCAGAAGAGAAACTCTCAGCTTTTCAGTGTCGAGTCTGATGTTGACTGTGGGCTTCCACACGTGACCTTTATTGTGCTGAGGGGTGGTCATTCCATCCCCAATGTGTTGACAGTGTTTGTTATGAAAAGTTTGTTTTGAAGGAATGGTGTACTTTGTCTAATGCCTTCTCTGCATCTATTCAAACATGCATATGTTTTATATCATATACTTTATTATTGTTATGAAAATTAGTGATCTTCACATGTTAAAGTATTTTTGACCATTATCAGGACCCTGTGTTAAATACCATTTGATCATGGTGTACAAGAGGTTTAATGTGCTCTTGAATTCCTCCTTTTAATATTTATTGAGCTATTTTACATGTATGTTCAACAAGAATATTGGCCTCTTGTTTTATTTCTTGATCTATTTATTGTTGATGCCCTCTGTACTTCGTTGATGTGATTTTTCCACTGCAGTATTTGTGGCATTTATTTGATGATTTCTGTCTGTCTGTTGAATTCTCTGTTTGGTCCATACAATGTTTTCCTGACTTTATTGAAATGTCTTTCTGTTTTTGTCTTATAATCATGGAGTGTGTTTTGAATTACATGTTGAGTAAAGTGCTGTTCTCCATGATTTTGGGTTCATTATTGGGACATTATAATAATCTTTGATGAAGGCAGAGATTTTTATTCTTTCTGATCTTAGAGTGCTTTGTTCTCATTTGTATTTGACATGGCAGTCACCTTCTGCAAGCTTGACCAGCTGTCCTCAGATGAGAGATGGTTTCTGTTGGTCCTGCATGTGTTCTGGGGCTTGTGGGACCTCCTGTGGATGGACTGGTTTCGTGCTTGTGCCTCCCTCTTCTGGCAGGATTCGCAAGTTGTAGGTCTGGTCCTCATCTTTCAGTGTATCTGAAGAGTTATTGGTAAGATTTTTTTCTTTATTGTTCTTTTAAAAAATAGGCTATGACTTTTAGAGACAGGGGCCCCAGTCCCCCGTGCTGGTTGGCCATCTCCAAGGTCCAGCTGACCCCAGTTCAGTCTCAGGCCTCCTCCTTGCTTTCTTAAGGGGATCAGAGGAATATTAGGTCCTCAGAGGTCGCCTGGATGGAGCCTTGATAGCCAGCAGGTTGCTGCTGCTCTGGGCCCAGCAGGCCAGCAGGGGCTGGGCTGAGGGCTGGGCTGTGTGCAGGGGCCCTGGCCAAGCTGTGGGGCGAAGTGTTGTGGCCCCGGACTCCTTAGAGGTCACAGTGGAATTGGGGTGCCGGCACCGGCTGTTTGACGGGTGGTCGCTGCTGCTGAAGGGCTTGTAGCAGAGAGAGCAGGGGAGGCGCTTCTGTCCTTGTGCATCCAGTGGCGACCAGCTCGTGCCCACACCCGCGAACTTCCTGTCCCAGCCAGGCTTGTCACAGGCATGGGTGATGTGAGGTGCACGGACTGGAAGCAGCTTTGGAGCAGTCCGGGAACGGAGTGCGGTGGCTCTTGGCGGGAGCGGTGCACGCCTAAACCCGGACTAGATGCGGGAGGACAGGGACCAGAGGCGTGGGGACTGGAAGGCGATGCAGCACCTGCTCCAGACTCCGGGGCTGCCACGCAGGTCAGTGAGGATCCTGGCGGCCAGCCCTGGTGGTGCGGCTGTGGCTTCGGGGGGCGCTGCTCTGTGCCTGGCCGGCCGAGCGCACGTTGGGGCGAAGTAATCCATGCAGGTCACTAAGCCCATCAGCCCGAATCTGTGTGCACTGGGACTCAGTGAGGGAGATGGATCTGGAGAAAGACCGGGGGTGCGAGACAAGGGTGGTGGGCGCTCTCCCTGCCCCCAGGAAGAGAGTAGGGGAAGGGACTAGAAAAGAAAAGTGTATGAATGACCCCCGGACACAACGGAGTGGAAATTTTCTGTTGGGGCGGGGGCGGGGAGCAGGTGCAATGGGCGGAGGAGGGCAATGGGAGGAAATTGGGGGAACTGTAATACAATAATAATTTTAAGAGATTTTAAAAATACGGAGCATGGACGTGGGGATGGCTAGGGTGGGTGGGAGTTGTGGGGGGTAAATCCAGACAACTGTACTTGAACAACAATGAAAGAATTAAAATAAATAAATTATATATAGTTCAAGTCGATCCTTCAAAAGACCTTTGAGTCTGTCTTTTACCTCTTTGCTCTATACTGGGATCATAGGGGGAAAAGATTTAAAAAATTAAAAAATATGAGTAATAGCAAAAAAAAAAAAAAAAGCAAAACAAAAGGGAAGGGAGACAGAAAGGAGTATTTACAACCAGGAATTACACAAATGCCACAATCAGGTCTTATGAAAACGACGGTGTTTTCTGGGAGCTGGTTTACAAACACACCTCCTGACCGTCATTTCCAACACCAGTTGCTCTTTCAGACTCAAGGCATTTCTGGAGGAACCAGCACCAAGTACATATCCTGATACACAGAAGAGTCGTTGATGGGATCTTTTCTGAGGATCCCACCTAATATAAGCGAAATAAATGTCCTACATGAAAGTGGACCAGAGATGGAGGGTGAGCCCAGGGGTGGATCTGAACCTGTGATGTGGGCTGAGCTCCAGGTCACATGGAGGTGAGAACAGAGGCCCCATCAAGGAAGGTCAGCAGTGCAGTGAGGGGAGACGCCCACAGTCTAACTGTGGGGAAGCCTCTGCAGCCCCAGCCCTGCCTCTCGCTGCACAGGAACCACGCCCACTCCCTCCACATTCTCAGCAGACTCTTTCCCAGGGTCTTAATATGTGAAATGTTAGAGAGACTTATCTAACAAAAAGATGAAAAATATGAATAGTGAAAGGACAGCAAACTCACAGTTATTAACAACCTCACCTAAAACAAAAGCAAACTAAGAGGGGGAAAAAGCAAACAGCTAGATCAGGAGAAGAACCATAGAAATGAAGATCACATGGAGGGTTAGCAACAGGGGAGTGGGAGGAGGAGAAGGGGGAGAAGGTACAGAGAATAAGTAGCATAGACGGTAGGTAGAAAATAGACAGGGGGGAGGGCAAGAATAGTATGGGAAATAGAGAATCTAAAGAACTTGAGACACATGGTCATAAACTAAAGGGGGGGTAATGGTGGGAGAGGTGTGTGCAGGGTGGAGGGCAATGAAGGGGGGAATAGAACAACTGTAATGGCATAATAAATAGAATATATTTTAAAAAACAAAACAGGAATACACAGAACCACCGCCAGACAACTTCGGAGCAGCGATCCCAGGAATCCCAGGAGTGGAGGACTCAGAAACTGGGAGGCAGAGCTGACGGGGCTCAGTGCCCAATCTTCACGGACAATCTGCTCCTGGACGAGTGTCCCCGCTGTCTTCTGGTGTCGCTCTTATCTGTGAGGAAGTCTGGTGTCAGCAAGCTTGTCATTTCAGTAATTTGCATTTTCCAAAGAAAATAATGTTAGGACTCTTTCTCTGGGGTCCCTGGCCAGTGCTTTATGACTTTTATTTTCGCTGAAATGCATATAATGTAATATTAGCCATTGTAATGTGTACAAGTATGTGTAAAATAGGATTTTTTAAATTTTAATTTACCGTTCATTTGCTTCATTTACCACAAGAGGACAAGATACAGATTTCATTTCTGTTTTGTCTTTTTTAAACATTTTATTTATTTATTTACTTTTAGAGAAGGGGAAGGGAAGGAGAAAGACAGGGAGAGAAACATCAATGTGTGGGTGGCTCTCACATGCCCCCTACTGGGGACCTGGCCCACAACCCAGGCATGTGCCCTGACTGGGCATCGATCTAACGACCCTTGGTTCACAGGCCCACACTCAGTCCACTGAGTTACACCAGGCAGGGCTGAGTTCATTTTCAAATACATGCCCCCTATCACTTAGCTGGTCTTCCTCATCTCTGTAAAATGTTCAATGATTGTTCTCTGGAGCTCCTACTAAGTGTCATGGTCACTTCTTTCCTTCTGACACCAGAGATATGGCATTGGCCCTCCTCACTCTAGTCCCCAAGTACCTGCAGTCCTCACACCTGGTGTCCCTGTGCTGCATTCTGGAAATTTCCTCAACATTGTACTCCACTGTCACAACTGGCCCTTCAGCTCTGTCTCATCTTTGATGGGAAGAATTGTTTTAGTCTCTCCATTCTATCGGGTTGTTCATCTCACAGATTTCTAACTCTAGACACTCCTCTGTAAAACAATTCACATTCCTGGCTCAAAAATTGAATCCTTTCTTCCATTTTCAAATATTTACAAGTGATTATTTTAAATTGCACTCATATTTCCTACTCCCTTCTTTCATTTCATGTGACAGTCCCCAGTGTCAGTAGACGGTGTCCATAGCTCTGTCTGTCACCATTAAGATGTCTCCACTGTCCACTCTTGTAGGAGCCTCTCCCCTCACACACCTGGTCTCCCGCAGATTCTCCAGGGCTGTCCTGGGAGTCAGGCTGACCAGGGGCTGTGGCAGCTGCCCCTGCCCCATGCAGTCCACTCTCTCAGGCTCAGCACCTGCTCAGTGTTCTGCCCACCAGGGCTGGTCCATGGGAACCTCACACACACACATGAGACAGACACCCATGGGTGACATACTGGACTCAGTCTGTTTCAGGACACACAGGGCAGACTGCTCACTGCTGACCATGACTTGGGTGAGTGGGCAGAGACATCTCAGACCATGCACAGAACCATGGGGCAGGGGCCACACTTAAAGCCTTCACCTGCTCCCTGACCCCCTTCCTGTGAGGTCCTGGAGTCCCTTTCCTTTTGCTCGGGGGAGGGAATCATGTCCCTATGACCCATGGATAGTCCAGAGCAGTACGGCCACTCAGTTTCAGTCTCTGTTCTTCAAGGTCATTCCTTCTCCATTTGGGAACTTTCATTTCTCTTTTCTGCACGTGTCTGACCTACATACTTTAGAGCTGTTTTGAGTAGCTGTGCTTGGTATTCAGAGCAGACATGGTCTCAAGGGGATGAAACAATCCTGCCCTTGACCCTGGACACCTTGATCCTCTCATGTCCCAGCCCACTCACATCCTCATCTGGTCTGGAAATGGAAGCCTCCCTCCCATGAACCAGCACCACTGACCCACAGCCACTGTGGGGACTGGGCTTTGTGACAACATCATCCGCATGAGGAAACTGAGACTCAGAGATACGCCATTAGCACACAGATCATGTGGGCAATGGTTGAATGGTTATTTAAATAACTATCTGCCGTAAGTAAAAATCAGGACTATAACCCAAATCAATGTCCCCTGAAGCTTGAAGGCAGGACCACAGCATGAGGAGGAGGTTTAAACCAGGAAACAAGGGCACTGAGGGGGCAGGGATCATTCAGAGGCTTGTCCCCCAAAAGATGGATGGCCGCTGGTGCTAGGAAAATATGAGAAGTCAGTGGGGGTGGCTGGGATAGAAGGAAAACCACACTCTGGGTAAGAGGAAGGGACATGTTCTTTTCCCCTATTTCACTGTTTCCCCTTTGTGCTCATTGTCACAGCGGCACTCGTCTGCACTGCACAGTGAGGAGGGGACCGTGTCTCTGCTGAGCTGAGCTCTGCAGGCACAGGGACCCCATCTTCCTAAAGCATCTCCAGGGACTGAGTGACCACTGTCCAAGGGGAGGACCCACAGGGAGGGGTTGATAGTTGGGCTCGGGGGGAAGGGGACCTCATGGAGGGGGACCTGGAAGGCCATGCCCTGGGTCACCTCACTTGCAAGGGGTGTTTCAGGAGGCTGCGGGTCTATTTCTTCCTCCATCATGAGAACAAGGGCCGGACTCCTCAGGAGACACTGTCCCCTTCCTGAGGGGCTGGTGACAGGAGAACCTCGTGACAGGGATGTCCAGCCTCCCAGTGACCACACCCTGTGAGTCTCTCCACCCTGAGGACTCCTTGGTCTCTTCCTCCTTCTGCGCAGCTGGGTTCAGAGAGGAGACGCCATGCCCCCCAGCCTCACAGCCCTGCTCTGTCTGGGTGAGATGTGAGGGGGGAGGGGAAGCCCTGCTCTGTCAGGACCCCAGGGCTCAGGAGGCTCCCGGGGAGAAGGGTTCTGCTCAGGACTCAGGGCAAATCTCTCACAGGGACTCTCTTGCAGGGCTGAGCATGGGCCTGAGGACCCCAGTGCAGGCAGGTGAGTCTGTCCCCAGGGGCCCCATGTCCCTCTCCACATAAAGGACAAAGGGCTTCTCCATCTGGCAGCTGTGGGTGAAAAAGAAGTTCTGGGTTAATGGATGGGGGACGTCAGGGAAAGTCCTGGGGCTGTGATCTGGGCAGTGGGGGTGGAAATGACTTCTGACCCCACCTCTGACTCCTTCCAGGGACCCTCCCCAAACCCACCCTCTGGGCTGAGCCAGGCCCTGTGATCCCCTGGGGGAGCTCAGTGACCATCTGGTGTCAGGGGCCCCTGCAGGCCCAGGAGTTCCATTTGTATAAAGATGGAAGCCCAGCGGCCTTGGACAGACAGATATCACAGTATCCCAGGAAGAATGTCAAGTTCTCCATCATACAAATGACAGAGTTCACTGCAGGGAGATATCAGTGTTACTATGTCAGCCCCACTGGCTGGTCAGAGGACAGTGACCCCCTGGAGCTGGTGGTGACAGGTGAGTGGACACTCAGGGGTCCCAGCCTCAGGCTCTTCCCTCAGGAAGGGGGATACCCTCAAGGGGTCTCCCCCTCACGGCCCAGCCCTGGGAGACATGAGGAAGGTGTGACCCCACTTAACATGCTGCCTCCTTCTCTCCTAGGAGTCTACAGCAAACCCAGCCTCTCAGCCCTGCCCAGCCCTGTGGTGACCTCAGGAGCGAACGTGACCCTCCAGTGTGGCTCACGGCAGGGATTTGACAGGTTCATTCTGACCAGGGAGGGAGAAGACAGGGTCTCCTGGACCCTGGACTCACAGCAACACCTCAGTGGGCAGTCCCAGGCCCTGTTCCCTGTGGGCCCTGTGACCCCCAAACACAGGTGGACATTCAGATGCTATGGCTGTTACTGGAACAGACCCCACATGTGGTCACAGCCCAGTGACCCCATGGAGCTCCTGATCCCAGGCAAGTCACATCCTGGTAACATCCATGTATTGAGGCAGCATATAAGTAACTGTGGTCTTTGCAGGGAGGGGAGCCCCATGGGAGAGGTGGGATGAGTGGGGCCCCAGAGACACAGAGAGACACAGTAGGGCCTGGTGGCCTGGGGGCCAGGCCAGGAGGAGGGCTCATGGGAGGACCAGCCCTGTCACTCCTGTCTGGTCCCTGCAGGTGGCTCAGGGAAGCCCTCCCTCCTGACCCAGCAGGGCTCCATTGTGTCCTATGGACAGAGCTTGACCTTCCAGTGTCTCTCTGACATCAGCTATGACAGATTTGCTCTGTCCAAGGAGGGGGGACAGGACCTCCTCCAGATCACTGCCCTGCAGCCCCAGGCTGGGCTCTCTCAGGCCAACTTTTCCCTGGACACTGTGAGCAGCTCCCATGGGGGCCGTTACAGGTGCTATGGTGGACACAGCCTCTCCTCTGAGTGGTCAGCCCCCAGTGACCCCCTGGACATCCTGGTGGCAGGTGAGGAGCCAATGGGTCCAGTAATGAACCTGGAGTCTGCTCAGGCCCTGCTGGGGGGTCTCAAGTGGTGATGGCCAAGATACGGGGTCTGGTGTCTCTAAGGAGAGAGAGATGGGAGGGGAGATGCACAGAAAACAGAGCCACACAGAGAGCAGGGTCATCAGAAAGGGGCCTGGTGACTCTCAGGTCAGATATGGAGGGTGTCAGCCCCTCACCTGCCCCTTCTCTCTAGGATGGCTCCCTGACAGACCCTCCCTCTCGGTGCAACCAGGAGCCATGGTGGCCTCAGGAGAGAACGTGACCCTGGTGTGTCAGTCACAGAGCCCAAGGGTCATTTTCCTTCTGTCCAAGGAGGGGACAGCCAATCCCCCGCTGCGTCTCAGATCACAGTCCCGAGCTCAGCAGCACCAGGCAGAGTTCTCCATGGGTCCTGTGACCTCGGCCCACAAGGGGACCTACAGGTGCTACAGCTCACTCAGCATCTTCCCCTACCTGCTGTCACAGCCCAGTGACCCCCTGGAGCTCCTGGTGTCAGGTGAGGCCCCGACCCTGTCTTTCTGAGCTGTTAGCTCAGGTCCTGGTCCCCAGAGGAACTACAGGCTGAAAGGGGATGGCGTGGGCTCTAAGGACGGCCGCCCAGCAGAGATCTGCCCCTCGGAGGCCCTGCTACACCTGTCCATCCAAACCCCCACCTGGTCCAGAAGGCGCCAGGTGGGCAGTGAGAGGGTCTTAGAAGCCACAGCACAGAGGCAGGAGGAGTCTGGTGAGGTGGGACCCCAGGGTGAGCCCACACCCTCACCCCCTTCTCTGTTCCTTCCCAGGACCCTCTGGAAATCCCAGCCCCCTACCCACAGGGCCCACCTCCACCACCGGTGAGTTACTGGACCCCCTTCACTCAGAGGAGGGCACAGACCAGCCCAGGGCACTTCTGTGTCTCTCAGAGGATCTCATGTCCCCATAGATACTCAGGAACAGGGTTCTGTCCCAGAGGGGGAGTCAGGGAGAGATTTCAGGGGACACATGGCCCTTCAGGCACTCTGAGGACACACCCCTCCCCCACCACGGTGTCAGGTCTGTACAGGGCTGAGTGAGGCCAGTGACAGTTGGGGTGGTTGTGAATGAGGTACATGTTGGGGCTCCTCTGGGGGAGGAGCCACGCTCAGTGGGGGAAGGCAGCACCCACCCCTCACCCCCATCCTGAATTTCTAAACATCTCTGAGGATCTGCCCCTTGGCCACATGGAGTCAGGCCCACAGAGCAGTAAGTGAGGGTCTCTGTGGGGAGGTGGTGGGTGTGTCCATGGGGGACAGGGACTGAGTCCTGTGCAAGTTCAGGCACCTCTGGAGGCTCTGACTTGGACACGGCCTTCCCCTCCCTGTGCCTCAGTGTCTCCAAGTGTAAAAGGAGAGAATCATGGCCCACAGCTTAGATTTCCTTTCAGTTCTGGCTCTGACCTCCTGGGAGGGGGTCCTCTCAGGGAAGTCCCCCTGGGATGTGACATTAGGGGAAGTGTCCCTCCAACTGACATCAGGGGTCACAGAGCTCAGGAGGGCAGAGCCCCAGCCCAGCCCAACCATTTGAAGGGGGCATCAGGGTTCACCACACACTCCTGCCCCTCCTGTGTCCCTGCTGTGCTGGGGGACAGGTACTAAAGAAGGACCCTCAGCTCCAGGTGAGACAGGACAGGCCCCTGCAGATAAGGAGCCCAGAGCTCAGAGCTGGTGTCCACCTGGGGTAGCATGAGGACAGCACAGGCAGCACAAGTTCCTGTGTAAAGTCCCAGCCCTGCCTCAGCCAGGCTGGGTGACCCGGGGCAGGCAGACTGGTCAGTGGGTCAGCCATCCCTGGTGCGTGAGGGCTGTGAAGTTAGAAGAGCTGAGAGGCAGATTCTAGCACCTGCCTCACACACAGTAGGTGCTCATTAAATGGCACCTTTGGCTCATTCATGATGTCACTCCAGCCCAAGGTCTCCAATGGTACTGGAATGTGCTGATAGGGGTCTTGGTGGCCCTCGTCCTACTGGTCTCCCTCCTCCTCTTCCTGTTCCTCTTCCTCCGACACAGGCGTCAGAGCAAAGGAAGGACATCAGGTGAGCAGGGGACGGGGTGACCTGGGTCACAAGAGACCCATCAGGTCACAGAGCACCTGATGCAGGAAAATCAAATAGATGGGGAAGGTCAGCTGAGAAACAGATTTCTCCAGAATCTCACATTGGAAAATCTAGAAAGAAAACACTCAACATCAGCATCGACATAGAAATGTAAAGTTGTCTTCCACCATTTTCAATCTCCTGAAACATGAAACATACCCACAAACATGTGCAGGTTTCCTTCTTTCCCCTGCAGTCACATGGGGAGGGGCCCCTACATTCCTTGGGCTGGGACTCTCCCTCTTGACCAGCCCAGAGGAAGGCTGATATCTGACCTCCTGCAGGGGCCACGGACCCAGAGCCCAAGGACAGAGGCCTGCAGACCAGGTAATTCCTGCCCCAAAGGCCCCAACCCCCACCCAAGGCCCCACTCTGCCCCTAACTTCCTGTCTCCTCCCCCAGATCCAGCCCAGCTGCAGACGCCCAGGAAGAGCCCCTCTGTGAGAGGAAGGAACAGCTGCCCTGGGAGAGGGGGACGCAGGGATTTCAGGAAGGGATTAGGGGAGGGGACAGCCTGGGAGGCTGTGGGGGTCAGGGGTGAGAGGGACTGAAATCCACACAGCCTGACCTGGCCCCTCACCTCATCATCTCTGGGTTAGTGACCCATCTGGGAGGGCGAGGGTCTGCAGCCCTGAGATCTCAGGGACCCTGAGTGGAGACGCTCCTTGTTCTTCCCCCGCAGATGCTGCCATGAAGGACCCTAATCCTGGGGAGGGCATGGAGCTTGACCCTCAGGTGAGACCCCTGCTCCTGTCCAGGCCACCAAGGACCTTCCTGTTCCCCAGTTTACTCCAGTGGTCACCCCCTTGTCCTCACCTCCCCTGGTTCTCGGCAGCGTCCATATTGACCTGTCCTTCTGGGCACCAGGCTGTCCTGCTCTGACTCACCACTCCCACTTTCCTGTGACCTCAAAGCCCTTCCCTCCTGGGTGGTCCTCTCTGCTAGTTCCCTGCTCTCTATATGAATTGTGGGGCCCCAGGTCTCAGAAGGAGACATGAATGAGTGAACACCCACAGGTCTCAGGGTCCCGTCACTCACTCATGCAGCAGCTGTGACAAGAGCTCAACTGGTTACTGGCTCCATGTTGGTGCTGCGGTGCCATCCTGAGCAGCCTGTCCCCACACTGCTCAAGCTCGCCTGTGGGTGAGGGAGACACCTGCAAACAGGCAGATGGAATCCTCAAGAACCAAGTGCTGTAAAGCAGAATGAAGCAAGCACAGGGGGTGGAGTGAGTGGTGAGGAGGGAGAACAGCAGGTGCAAAGGTTGAGGCAGGACCTGCTGCTTCAGCCAGATGGGCCCTGTGGCTGGAAGTGAATGAGCAAGAGACAGGGCATGAGGTTAAGGGTCAGATCTGCAGAAGCACCAGGAGCCCCAAGGCTCAGGGAGTCCCTGCAGACTCCATCAGGAGAGTGACCTCATCTGATCTGAAGTTTAGTTGTCACTCTGACACCATGTGGACACGTGACTGGAGGGTTTCAATCATGGGGTCAGGAACACACTGGTTCTGTCTCACTGTCTCTCTGCAGGAGAACAGGACCTGTGACGACTTCCAGGGAATGACCTATGCCCAGGTGACCATCTCAACATCAAGGCAGATGCAGGGAATGGCCCCTTCTCCTTCCCCCCTGTCAGAGGAATTGCTGGACAGGAAGGGCAGACAAGCAGAAAAGGACAGACAGGTGGACAGTCAGGTGGGCCCCGTCGTCTCCAGGCCCCAGGTTTACCCAGCCCCAACCACCTTTCACCCCTCTCACTGTCCCCCTGCTCCAGGCTGCTGCATCTGCTGCCCCCCAGGATGTGACCTACGCCCAGCTGACCCTCAGAAGGGAGACAAGTGCACCCCGTTCCTCCTCATCAGAGAAGCCCCCACATGAGCCCAGTGTCTACGTTTCTCTGGCCGTCCACTAGCCCAGGAAGGACCCAGACCCCACACTCCAGGGAGGAGACCTGCGTGGACCCCAGAAGGTACAAAAGCTGCCCCAAGGACACTTACTAGTGGCCCCAGCCAGCCTGGAGACCTGATGTGGGCCCCCACTAGCTCCTGGGTGTCTCTGGGAGGCCCCTGTTTGTATAGTCACAGATAACCAATATTCCTGCATTATAGAATCAAAGAAATAGACGTCTCAAAAATGTATGTGTAAATTTAAAACTAAACCAGAAGTGGGATGACATGTAGAGATCATGTACCATAGAAACGTACACTTGTAAAACCTGTTAACAGCACTGGCTGGTGTGGCTCAGTGGATTGAGTGCTGGCCTACAGAGCAGAAGGTCGCTGGTTCGATTCCCAGTCAGGGCACATGCCTGGGTTGTGGGCTAGGTCCCTAGTTGGGGGCATGTAAGTGGCAACCACATATTGAAGTTTCTCTCCCTCTCTTTCTCCCTCCCTTCCCCTCTCTCTAAGAATAAATAAATAAGATCTTTTTAAAAAGAGAAAAAAGCCTATAACCATCTTATTAATCATTGTCAGCCTAATGAATTTAACTTTTAAACATTTAAAAATCTCTAAAAAACAAAGAAAAATATCCAAACTGATATTGATTTAAAATATTCAATATTTTATGAAGATCTCAAGGAGGGTTAGCAACAGGGGAGTAGGAGGAGGAGAAGGGGGGAGAAGGTACAGAAAATAAGTAGCATAGACAGTAGATAAAAAAATAGATGGGGGGGGCAAGAATAGCATGGGAAATATAGAATCTAAAGGAATTGAGACACATGGTCATAAACTAAAGGGGGGGTAACGGTGGGGATGGGGAGGTAGGGTGGAGGGTAATGAAGGGGGGAATAGAACAACTGTAACAGCATAATCAATAAAAAAATTTTAAAAAAAAACAAAAAAAATATTCAATATTTTAAATGAATGATCATTGAAGTGTTACATAGCAGACCTATGAAATGCAAAACTAGGAACCATGAATGACTATATTAGAAAAGAAAGAGGTAAATACATAGAAACAACCTCGAGTGTCCTCCCGTGGATGACTGGGTAAAGGTGTGGAAATACACACAATGGAAAATTACTCAGCCGAGAAAGATGAACTATTACCATTTGCAATGACTTGGATGGAACTGGAGGGCATCACGCTAAGTGAAATAAGACACAAAAGGACAAGAAACATAGGATGTTACTCTTATGAAGGTGAAATTTGAAACTCTGAACAGTCATACATATTAACTATATTGAATCTGTGAGGAAAGTTTATCCTGCAAAGTGAACTTGGAGACCAGAAAGCTTCACTGCTAATGCTTCTAAATACTTGTGCATGTATGAAATACACATGCCCACAATATACACGTGGACATGCATGCAAACACACACACATACACAGATGCACACACATGGACACACACAGACATACAGAAAGCAATAAATACAAAAAGAAAACAAACTCGTATATTCGGAAATGAAAAAATGGTTACCAGAGAGAAGGGGGTGAGGGGAGCACAAACTGAAGGGGGGTTAAGGGGGTCACAGAAGGAGACTAGACTTTGGGTGATGAGCACAGAGCGAGTATATAGATAATGTATCAGAAGATTGTACACTTGTAATTTACATAATGTATTAGCCCATGTCACCTCAATCTATTTGATTCTTTTTTTACCACTGCATAGTATTCCATTGTGTACATGTACCACCGCTCTGTCATCCACTCATCTGCTAAAGGGCACTTGGGCTGTTGCCAGGTCTTCACCATTGCAAATAATGCTGCTATGAACATATGGGTGTGTATATTCTTTCTGACTGGTGTTTCAAGATTCTTAGGATCTATTCTCAGAAGTGGGATCAGTGTGTCAAAAGGGAGTTCCACTTTTAATTTTTGGATGAAACTCCATACTGTTTTCCACAGTGGTTGCATCAGTCTGCATTCCCCACGAACAGTGCACTAGGGTTCCCTTTTCTCCACATCCTCGCAAACATTGGTTGTTTGTTGATTTATTGATGGTAGCCTTGCTCAAAGGCGTAAGATGATATTTCATTTGCATCTCTGGTTATTAGGTGAATATTTGTTCATATGTCTATTGGCCATCTATATGTCCTTGGGTCCTTTGCCCATTTTTTAATTGGAATGTTTGTCTTCCTGGTGTTGGGTTCTGTAAGTTCTTTATGTGTTTTGAAAATTAACCCCTTATCAGATGTATCATTGGCACACATGTTGTCCCCTCAATCTGGTAACAGGCCCTGGCTGGGTAGCTCACTTGGGTAGAGCATCACCCTGATATGTGAAGGTTATCGGTTCAATCCCCCGTCAAGGCACATACAAGGATCAACCAATGCAAAGTAAAACAAATCAATCTTTCTCCCTCCCCCCTCTCTCTCCCCCACCCTCCCTCTCTCTCAAATTAATAAATAACTTTTGAAAAAAGATCTGGAAACAGCCCAAGTGCCCATCAGTAGGTAAGTAGGTTAAAAAATGTGGTACATTAATACAAAGGAATACTACATGGCTGTAAAAATAAAAAAAAAATAAACGACCCTTAAAAGTTTTGCAACGGTGTGGATGGACCTGGAGATTACTGTGCTAAGCAAAATAAGCCAGTCAGAGAAAGACAAATCCCATATGATCTCACTCATCTGTGGACTCTAATGAAGCAAATACACTGATGGACAAAATAGAACCAGAGGCAGAGATACATTTAAGAGACTGACAGATGCCAGAGGGAGGGAGTGTGGGGCACGGGATGAAAGCAGGTGAAGGGATCAGCCAAAGAACACACAGGTTGACCCACAGACACAGACAGCAGTGTGGTGATGGCGAGAGGGAAGGGAGGGCAGGGGGTGGCAGAGGTGGGCCGACTGGGGGGAAATGGGGGGCATCTGTAATAGTGTCAACAGTAAAAACATAAAAAATAAGAAAATAAAAACCTCATCTCATTTTAAAAAGAGAGAAAGCCTTTCAAAAATCAATGACCTAAGTTACTATATATCAAAAGTTTAGTGAAAGGCCCTGGCTGGTGTGGCTCAGTGGACTGAGCACCGGCCTGTGAACCAAAGGGTCACCAATTCCATTCCCAGTCAGGGCACATGCCTGGGTTGTGGGCCAGGTCCCCAGTAGGGGGTGTGTGAAAGGCAACCACACACTGATGTTGCTCTCTCTCTCTCTTTCTACCACCCTTGCCTTCTCTCAAGAAATAAATAAAATTTAAAAAATGGAAAAGAAAGCCTCAGTAAAGACATAGACACATAAAGAAAAACACAATGAAAGTTTTTAATTTGAAAACTAAAAAAATCAAAAGGTTTCATAGATACATGGGCTCAACAGCAGAGTAGAAAAGACAAAAAACACAACCCATAATGAACATGAAAAAAAGAACAACAGAAATTCCTCAGTCTGAACAACAGGGAGTAAATAAACTGGGAACAACTATGAACAGAGGCTCAAGAACCTGTCAGAGTGTCACAAAAGCTCCAACGTCCACATCATGAGTCCTAGAAGTAGAGGACAAGACTGGAAAACTACTCAAGAAATAATGACTGAAATTTCCCCAAACTTGGCTATAGTCATAAGGCTACGTATTCATGAAACTCGATGACTTCAAAATAGGATACACTCAAAGAAATCCACACCAAGATGCATCATAACTCAACTAGAAAAACAAAAGACAAAGAAGTTCCCTGAATGCATGAGGCAGAAATGCCACTTCACCCATAGAGAGAAAACCCACTCAGATGACAACGAGATTCTCGCTGGAAACCGTGAAGACAGGAGAGAAGTAGCACATCTTTCAAGTGCTGAGCAAAGAAAAAACTGCCAATCCCGAATTCTATCACTGGGGAAATTATCCTTCAGAAGTGATGGGGAAATAAAACACACTCTCAGGTGAAATATTAGTAAGAGGGTTTATCACAAGTAGACCTCCCATAAATGAACAGCCACAGGAAGTCCTTGCCCCAGGAAGATAATGATAAAAGAGGAATCTTGGAACATCCACAAGGAAGAGGGGAGATTGGGAAGAGTGACTAGGTGGACCCCAGCACAGTGCAGAGGACAGGACGTCACAACTGCCCAGGAGCACTCAGTTCACATCTCCTTCAAAGCTGGGGGGCAATAAAAACAAACATATACCCATTATCATCCAACAATGTTTGTGACTATCTTGTTAATCTACCCACATCTTAAGAACCACAAATAAAGTTTTACTTTGATTCCCGGAGCTCACATGAACACAAGAGATTTCTGAATTCCATAAAGAACTGTGGGACCCTTGGAGCAATTAGGACAGCCCAGAAGAGCCATGTTTTAGCAGTCAGGCCAAACTAGCCCTACAACATGCCTAAATGCTGATATTTCTTTTAAAGGACACGCTGAACCAGAAAGTGATTTGACTGAATTCTAAAACACAGTTACATACTTTTAAAGAAAGGAAGTAGAGTCTGTTACTCAACAGTGTCACTTACCTAATGCCTGGGAGAGAAAACCACAAACAGTCCTGTGTTCAGGTGGAAATGCAGGGGTGGTGTCACCCTCACGGGTTAGAAAGGGCAGTGGAGGGGCCCCTGGTGTCCCTGTGTAATACACCAGCCCGCTCCCCACAGACACTGGGAGGGCTGTGAGGATGGAAGGCAGAGTGGACTTCACCAAGTGCCAGCTCCTGCCACAGCTGCTGTGCTGGACACGTGGATTTACTGGACATCCTTTGGTCATTTCTAGACAGCCACGGATCTGGTAACCGAGAAGCAGTTCTAAACCTGGGTTCATGTTTACAGTTTTCACAGGGATAAAACTCACCTCCTTCTCTCACAGCAGAGTCCAAAGGCTCTCAGCATCTGGAAATCCAGCAGAACCTCGTATTTGTCCACAGTGTGGATGACTTCTTGTGAGTTGGACCTGAAGATTAGAGGGTGGCAAGGGCCCTGGTTGCCGTGGTTGGCACTGCAGGTGCGGGGAAGAAAGGAGGAACTAAAAGACTCGGGGCCTGTCAAGGCTGTGAGGGTATAGAGGTCTCACTCTCTGCGCCCTGTCAGGACATGCCCTGAACAGTCAAGTACATCCCACTGCAGCTGGCCACGCCCAACACCAAGAATGAGACACAACTCTGGGTGTGCGTCTTTGGACTGTGGAAGCAGCATATATCCAGCATTTGAGAAAGTAGATTTTTCACTTACTGGGGGAGTGAGAAGGCTGTGGGTGTGAATGGAGCCCAGTTCTAGAACCTGCAGCCACGGTCACGTGACCATGCAGACCCCGTGCCTGGTGCACTGAGAGACTGTAGGCTTTCTCTGCCCAGGCCCTCTGGGCTCATGTCCTCACATCACCTGCAAGAGAGAGATAGACTCCATTTAGAGAGCTGCTCCTGGTGTGCTGCTGGGTCCCGACAGCAACTCAGTGACTGACTAGAAGACATCAGGGTCTTGCATTTGGAACCACCCATGAGGAGGGGACTGCCATTCCCACCAAGTCACGAGGTTGCAGCCCATCGTGGGGTGAGAGTCCTGAGCCTGAAGCCATGCATAGAGTTTCCAGAAATTGAAGGACACAGATGGGTGGGTTAGATGCATGACACACACAGCCCTACCTGTCACAGGGATGCCTCTCCTCCACCTGTCCTCTAGTGGGTCACGTCTGGGTGGTGTGAGGTTTCTGCCTAGTGACACTCCACAGAGCACCCCCACTTGGGGACACAGAAAAAATTGCTTTCTGTGGAGGCAGAGCGTGTGGGGTCTGCTGAGACTCAGATCTGAAATGTCCAGAGCTTGTTGTCTCCTCAGGCCCATCCTCAGGGAGGGGCTACTTCCCTTCCTGCCAGGCCACTGAAGAGGAACCCTTGACTTGTCACACACAGCTGAGACCGTGTAACACCCCATTCGTTACTCTGTGTTGCAGTGAATGTACACATCGTCTGCACACTGGTGACCATGGCAGGAAGCACCATGACCGCGACCCTCAGTGTCCTTCTCTGTCTCGGTGAGCTTTGGGGGAAAGAGGAAGGTTGGAGTCCCCTCCCCTCCCAGGTTCTGGTCCAAGAGACCCCAGGAATCAGCAGGTTCAGTGGGGAAAGAACTCCTGGGGTCAGCAGAGGTGGCTAAGCCCCAGGTCTGGCCCCAGCACTCAGGGGCCCAGACCAGGCCTGGAGCTTCTGTGTGTGGGTGGGGACAATTCTCACAGGGACTCTCTTCCAGGGCTGTGTCAGGGCTGGTTAAACAAGGAACAGAGTGGTGAGTCCTCCCCCAGAGCTCCTGCTTCAGCACAATGATGACCCTGGGCAACTGGGGGACACACAGTGGGTCTGGGCTGGTGAACACCAGTGTGGGAGGGGCCTTGGAGTGACAGCTGGGGAAACTGAGTGGACAAGGACCCTTCTAACACTAAAGATCTGATTCCATTTCAGCAGTTCCCCCCAAACCCTCCATCTGGGCTGACCCAGGCCCCATCATCAGCAAGGGGAGCCCTGTGACCATCTGGTGTCAGGGGTCTCTGCAGGCAGATGGCTACAGTCTATATAAAGACAGAAGCTATTCAGCCTTGGACACAAGGATCCCACAGGCCTCCAGCAACAAGACCGGGTTCCTCATTCAGTCCATGAGGTCACAGTACACAGGGCTGTACCAGTGTGCATACAGCTATGGGGGCAGGCTGTCTGAGAGGAGTGAGCCCCTGCTCCTGGTGCTGACAGGTAAGGGGGAACCGGGTCTCCTGCCCACTGTGGGCTCCTCCTCAGAGGATGAAGGGGACAGAGTGTGGCTTCAGGGAGACCTCACCCCTCACAGCCCACACCTGGGGAACGTGGGTTGATGGTCCCCTCTAACTCAGATCTTCCTTCTCCCTCAGGAGAGTACAGCCCACCCTCCTTCTCAGCCCACCCAGGCCCAGTGGTGACCTCAGGAGGGAACGTGTCCCTCTTGTGCAGCTCACAGTACATTTCAGGCCCTTTCCACCTGCTGAAGGAGGAAGGGGCTGAGCCACCCCAACACAGTAAAGTGGAATGGAGATCCTATCAGAGGAGGTGGCAGGCTGTCTTCCCTGTGGGCCCTGTGAGCTCCTCCCATGGGGGGACCTACAGATGCTATGGTTCCTCCAGCTACTACCCCAATGTGTGGTCACAGCCCAGTGTCCCTCTACACCTCGAGGTCACAGGTGAGGTGGCCCACACTTGGCTTCAATTCTTTCCTGGGCCTCAAGCAATTGATCTTAGCATGTGACTAGTAAAGTCCTGGGGGATATTGGGGTCAGTGACAAGGGTTTACTGGGGACAGCACAATAGGTAGGACACTTAAGGAGGGACAAGTGAAAGCTCTCCCTGCAGCCCCAGTGGCCGGAGGGTGTGTGTGTCCCCTGGGTGACAATGACATGCTCCACAGGTGTGTACAGGGAGCCCTCCCTCTTGGCCCAGCCAAGCCTCCTCGTGCTGCCTGGAGACAACCTGACCCTCCAGTGTCACTCTGAGCCGGGCTTTGACAGATTCGCTTTGACCAAGGAGCAGGGGCGGACACCCCCCCAGCGTTTCCATAAGCAGCACAGCCCTGACTTCCTCCTGGGCCCTGTGACCCTCACCCACAGGGGCCGGTACAGGTGCTACAGTGGACACAACCTCTCCTATGTGTGGTCGGCCCCCAGTGCCCCCCTGGACATCCTGATTGCAGGTGAGGAAAACAGCCCTGCCCCCTGTCCTGACTGTCTGCTCAGGGCTGTGTCCTGGGGTCACCATGGTGATGATGGGCTCTAGGCAAGGGTCCTGGAGCAGAGACTGATGGGGCTGAGGTCTAGGAGAGAGAGAGTGAGGGGCATGGAGATATAAGATGCCCACTCAGAGGGACTGAGAGGAGCGGACAGTGGTTACAGACAGTGTCCCTGGGAAAAGACATGGTCCCTCAGCTGGGGACAAGGGTATGTAGGGATGACCCTCTGCTCATCACAGCCCTCATCTCTCTAGGAATGTACAGGAAACCCTCCCTCTCGGCCCATCCTGGGCCCTCAGTGCCCTGGGGAGTGAACGTGACCCTGCAGTGTCGATCTGAGGACAGGGCTGACACCTTCCACCTGCACAGGGAGGGGTCCCCGGATCCTCCCCAGCAGCTTCACCTGCAGGACACAGCTGCCCCCTCTCAGGCCAACTTCACCATCAGCCCTGTGACCCGGGACCACAACGAGACTTACAGGTGCTACAGCTCACACAGCTCCTCCCCCTTCCAGCTGTCACAGCCCAGTGACCCCCTGGAGCTGGTGTTCTCAGGTGAGGAGCCCCTTCCCATCCCCATGCTGTCATGGTCAGTGCAGGACCCTGTCCCCCAGGGGAACTTGAGGCTGGATTGGGACTGAGAGGGTCACGGAAGGAGGGTCAGCCTTGGGGGACCCTCACCTCCCACAGGGATGGAAAAGCCGGAGCCACCCCACCCCTGTCTCATCCTCATCCCCATCCCTGGGGCCCAGACAGGTTCCAGGGCCCCATGGAGGCTGGAGAGGCCACAAGCTGAGCAAAGGGAGGAAAGGCCAGGGGCACCCATCCCGATCCCCCTCCTTCTCCAGTGCCCATGGCCTGACTCAGACACCAGGACAAGCATGGTGAGTAGCAGAGGCCTTGCTCCCAGAGAGAACCAGATCCCACGCTCTGGCACGCTTGGCCAGACACTGATGCCAGGGGCATATTGGGGCCCCCAGGGCCGTGAGGCAGACAGGTGACGAGTGGGGGTGTCGTGGAGGAGGGACGTGCTGTTGTCCCACTCATGTGAAGGACAGTCAGGCTCAAGTGGGGAGAAGGCAGATCCCACCCTTCACCCACCACCCTGTTCTCCAGGAGGCTCTAAGGACCAGCCCAACACGAATTCAGGCACCCAGTTGGGTAAGTGAGGGCCTGGGAAGTGGGGGGGTGGGGAAGCTCAGTTCTGGTCTTGGCTCGGCCAGTTCCTGGATAAGAGCCTGAGAAAAGTTCTTTCTTCTCTCTGGGGCCAATTTCTCTAAAGGCTGCTAGGACTGTGTGTGTATGGGTGGGTGTGTGTACACATGTGTGACTGCCTGTGTGTGTGTGTGTGTGTGTTATGTGAGCTCTCCTCTGTAAGCCTTCCAAGGAGCAGCTACAGAGTTAGGGAAAGATGCCCCACTGGTGGTTCAGCTCCCAGCCCAGCGATGGGATCTTGGGCAAGTCCTGATCCTCTCAAGTCAAGGTCACAGGCTGTGGCACAGGTCTCCTGCCACCTCCCCCCAAGGGAGAGCCCTCGGCAGGCAGCCGGGCCCTGTGCCGAGCTCTGGAAGGACACAGCCCACCCGCAGCCTTTACAGATGCGCACTGTGTGCACAGGGGCCGCACCACGGCAGGGGGTGGTGTCGGTCTACAGAGTGGGAGACGGTGGGGCTGGGGAGTGGCGGTGACCGCGTGTGGCAACAGGTCTCTGCACTGGTGTTCTTTCTCCCTGGAGGACATGAGGAGAGCATACACAAAAATTTTTAAAAATAGTAATAGTAATGACAATCACACAAGGGAACCCACGTCCCAGGGTGCAGTCCTGCCCTGACCAGGCTGGGTGGCCTGGGGCACGTGGCTAACCTCTCAGAGCCGCAGTGGACTGGTCAGTGGGTCAGCCATCCCTTGTGCACCAGGGCTGAGGTCAGAGCAGATGAACAACAGACCTCCACCCATGCCTCGCACACAGTAGGTGCTCATTCCATGGCATCTTGGCTCATTCACGACATCACTCCTACCCAAGGTCTCCAATGGTCCCTGAACATCCTGATCGGGGTCTTGGTGGCCCTCGTCCTGCTGCTCTCCCTCCTCCTCTTCCTCTTCCTCCGACACCGACACCGGCGTCAGAACAAAGGCAGGACATCAAGTGAGTAGGAAACAGGGTGACCTGGGCCACAGAAGGCAGTGGGCTTAGGAGCCAGCCAGAACTAAACCAAATAGTCAGGAAGGTCAACAGAAAAACTCCAGCCTGTCCCAATGGGAAAAAACCTAATGAGATGAAATGGGAGCGTACACATAAATATCTTCGAGTATTCTTTCGGCTTTTCCAAACTTACGAAATGTCTGAAAACCCATGCAAATTTTGTTCTTCTTCATCCAGAATTGCATTCTCTCTAGTGGAGGTGGGCGGGCAGGGGATTAGATCTCAGTTGTTAAGTTCTCTGCGGGTCTCAGCCCTGCCCCAGAGGAGGGTCTTCGGGGGGTGGGGACTGGAAGCTGACCCCACCTTCCTGCAGTGGCTGCGGCACCAGAACAGGAGGACAGAGGCCTGCAGAAGAGGTGAGCCCTCTCCCAAAGACCCCGAGCCCCATGCATCTGGGCGCCCCCATCAGCCTCCTAACACTCTGTCTCCTCCCCCAGCTCCAGCCCAGCTGCTGACGTCCAGGAAGAGAACTTGTGTAAGGGAACTTGGACAAGGCGTCTTAGGGGAGGAGACAGGCCCAGAGAACCTGGGTGGGCTGGGGAGACGGGGAAGTGGTTGGAAACTTCTGGCCTTGGCTGTGATACAGCACAAAGCTGATACTCCGTGACCTTTACCACATCACTAATCCTACCTGGGCCTGTGCTGGGTGAGACGTCAGGGAATCTTAGCAAGAGATGAGATCACCTGGTTCTGTCCCCAACAGATGCTGTTGTGAAAGACATACAGCCTGAGGACAGAGAACTGGACAGTCAGGTGAGCTCTGTCTGGCCCTGAGCAGGGAGTCACGCCTCCTTGTCCACACACCAAATTCCATGCACACGTCTCCTTCACCCCACTCAGCTCTGGGCCGCCTCTAGACGTACCCGCTCTGAGCCGCTAGACTACGCTGTCCTCACCCTCTGGGGTCTCCTCCACTGGGCGCTGCTCGGGTGGCCACGCAGTGCTGGAGGTTGGGTGCAAGCAGCTGGAACCTTGCCACGGAACTGAAATCTAGGCCCTGGGCCTGCAGAGAGGTGCTCCTGATCCCCACACAAAGGGTCCTCTTGGCTCACTCAGCCCTCACTGTGTTCTCTCCTGTCAAGCCCGGGACCCACACGGGGTTACAACACGCCCCGTCCACCACAGCAGGCTCACTCAGCCCCAACCAGCCATGGACAGCACTCCCTTGAGGGCTGAGGGGGGGTCTGTCCACCCCTGGCTCCATGCCCAGTTCCTATTTCCCCAGCACCAGACAAACCCTGTCTCCCCTCGACCCCTCAAGATCCAATGACTGACAGGAACAGGAACAGAGAACAAGAGCAGAACCAAGACCACTCCCCTCACTGTCTCTGGCAGTCATGATCAAGGCCCCCAGGACTGTGTCCTTCAACCTCCCCAGCCTAAGGCATGCCCGACCCCAACAATGAGTCTTTGTTCTGCCCCACCACAGGCTGCAGCATCTGAAGACCCCCAGGATGTGACCTACGCCGAGCTGAACCACTTGGCCCTCAGAGAAGAGACAAGTGCACCCTGTTCCTCCCCATCAGAGAAGCCCCCAGAGGAGCCCAGTGTGTATGCTACTCTGGCCGTCCACTAGCCCAGGAAGGACCCAGACCCCATACTCCAGAAAGGGGGCTTTCAGGGACCCTGGAAGGCACAGGAGCTGCCCCCAAGGACACTCAGTAGTGGCCCCTGCCAGCCTGGAGACCTGACACAGGCTCCCAGCAACTCTGGGGCCTTTTAGAAGTCGATTGCTTCCGGAATTCCATCAACACACAGCTGATCTACATCTCCACCAAAGGGACCCCACTGACTGCAAGGATGCCTCAGAACTGCAAGGCCAGAATTAGAACGCGACAACCTTGGGCTGAAAGCAGGCCTACAACCCAGCCCCAGTAAGCCACAGCTGTCACTGTGAAGCTGTCACTCAACTGACCTCAGAACCCGAAAGTCCCCAAAGGTGACTACAGGGTGCCAGGTGGCTGCAGCAGCTGAGGGGTTGCTCAATTCCACACTTCTCATTTTGAGCCAGCCCCTTCCTCCCCTGCCTGACACAGCTTCTCAGCAATGAAAAGGAAGCCTGCTCCCTCCTGACCACTGAATGTCGTCCTTCTCCAAACACGGAGGTGCCTTTCCATAGGCCACTAACCCATTCCCCACTTCACATCCTAAGACACAGAAGTGGGAATCTGCCCATCAGCCACCCTGTAACAAGCTGTGAAATGGGCCTGTAGATCTTGTCAATCCCTGCCACCAATCAGAACTCACCAGCTACTCTGAGCAGTGTGGCACAATTGGTTGGGCATCATCCCACAAAGTTAAAGATGACCAGCTGATTCCTGATCACGGCCCACGCCTCAGCTGAGGGTCCGATTCTGGTCGAGGTACCGGTTTATCCTGTTCTCCTCTCCCTTCCCCTCTAAAAACCAAAAACAAAATAAACCCCAGCAGCCTATGGTGGATGGATCAGCTCTCAGTTCCCAGCACCATCCCTCCCCCTCGGGTCAGCCCGACTTCTCAGGCCATGGGTTGGGCAAAGGGCTGGAGAGGTGCCAACACTGACTTCCACTTGCTACTTCCCCTGCCTGAAAATGAATGTTCAGCTTTCAGAGCTTCCCTTTTTTTATTTGCTCAGACTGCTTACCTTTAAACTTAACTGAAATTAAAAAAAGATGTGTGTCAGTAACGTCACATCTGATTCTGACTCAAAAGAACCTTCCTCATAATTCCCTTGGCTGCCCTGCTGTGATGTCAGTGGTGTGTGACTGGTGTTCACTAGCGCAGCCGACTCAGGTGGTCTTCAGCATCTCAAATTGGACAGAGACCAGCAGGACCCCTGAGCAAGGATGACACAGATGGTGAAGCACGCCCAATTTCTTGATGACTAGTAACTCAACTCTCAGGGGTGATCACTGTAGTGTACGTAGATGCTAAAGAATGTTGTACACCAGAAACACTAAAAAAAAAAATGTTTAAAAAGCCCACACGGACCTGACCAAACCAGCCTAACCAGGCCCCTTCCACACAGGAAGAACCACTGACAGGTGAGTGAACTAGCTCGAGGTAACCTGATAAAGAACCCAGCCTGCATTTCTCCATGCCACACAGACAGATGGTGTGGTTCAGAGCTGGGAGGGTAAGAGACGCACCAATAAAGAGATGCACCAGTTCCGAAGTGTTGATCTGTGTTTTATTATCCAACTGGAAAACCAGACACTCCACCAGTCCAGGGGGGGAAGAGGGGCTTAATCCTCCTCCTCGTCGTCCCCAGCTCCAGCCCCGCCCTGGCCCTTCTTGGCATTCTTCCTCTTCACTCGGCCTGGACGGCCACCCCCGTACGGGGACCGGAGGGAGAAGTCGATGTGCTTCTGGGAGTCCAGGCGGACAATGAAGGATGGGATGTTCACCACCTGCTTGCGGACCCTGGAGGGGGGAGGGCAGGTCAAGGGGGTAGCAGGACCTCACCCTGGACAAGACACCCCTCTCCTCTCGATTGCACAGGGCTGGCGCCACAGCTGCACTCACACAGCAACACTGACGGGGCTTCCTGATCCCACAGCCTCTGGCGTCCATGTAATCCCTCCATCTAATCCATACAATACTTTGTGAGACACGGGCCGCTCACTTTACTCAGCGGAGGGAGATTCAGAAGTAACCACACAGGACCACAAAGAGAATGAGGTGAAGTGGCAACATGTAAATCCAAGATCTCGCCTTCAAACACTCAAAACTGTGCCAGACAAGTTCACTGTCCTGGAAGCAGCAGCCCACGGCCAGGTTCTATGAAGTCATTCCCAGTAAGAAATGTGACGGGCTCTTTCCCGAGGGTCACAGGGCCAGGAGAGGGCTGAGGCACCAATTCTGTGCACAAACATCTTGTCCCATACTGCACAGCTTTCCCCCAAATGGGCCCAATTTACAGAAAGGGTAACCAGTACCCAGGTAAAGACCTACCAGCCCTGCCTGCTCTCTTCACTGCGCCACCCTGAGCCAGCGTCTGTGCTGCAGCAGACCCTGAAGTGGGGCCAATTTGCCAAGTTAACACCCACAGTGCAAGGATCACGGTCTGGAATGACTTCACAAGTGGGCCCTGTGCACAGCTGAGCCCACCCAAGCCAGCCAAGGCCCAATGACTTCTCTCTCAACTGGGAGACACCAGAGCTATTACCTGTCCAGCTGCCTGCATGCCTGTCAGAGGCCTTCGCAAGGTGTACGGCTCAAGCCGCAGTGACCCTTGCGCTGGGCTATGGGGGGTGGTGAGGTGGCCCCCAGCCTCCCATGAGCTGTCTGTAGGGGTCAATCTGTACCCTGAAGGTGAGCTCACACCTTTGTCACCTCCAAGGGCTGCACAGGAGACACGGACAGCAGACTTAATGAGAGCAACCTTCAGAAGGGTGGGGGGGTACGCAGAACACAGGACTCAGGAAGCCCACCAGAGGTAGTACCTGATGTGCCGCTGGCGGATCAGCACTCGAGCATGATGGATGGACTTGGCCAGGCCCAGCTTGAAGACCTGGGTCTGCAGGCGCCTCTCCAAGAAATCCTCAATCTTCAGGCCCAGGATGTAATCCAGCTTCATCTTGCCCTCGTCCAGCACCCCAATGCGCACGAGGCGCCGCAGCAGGGCATTGCCTGAGGGAGGGGACACAGGGATGGAACACAAGCCAGGGTTCTGGCTGACCTCACACCTGCTGGGTTCAAGGCTGCCACCTCAACAGCTCCACATCATGGACACTGGTGGAAAGAAGAAGCTAATTCTGACAAAGGACTCAATATACCATCCATCATGTGACTCATGTGACGCCCTACACAACCCTAAGGCAGGTCCTGTGGCTACACCCATCTCACCAGGGAGGGCAGATGACTGCATACACCTGTGTTCTCACTGGAAAAGGAGAGCCTTCCTCAGCTGTCATGAAGAAAAACTGAGATGATCCCTGTAAAAGGGCTTAGCATTCGCTTGCAAGACTGAGGACTATCATCATTAAACTATGGCTCCCATGACAAAGCATAGGGCATGAGAGCTAACATTTGAGAGTTAAAAAAGCCCTACCAGTTACCCCGCACAGGCTCACAGTTAATTAGCACATTTACACTGGAGAAACAGCCCAAAACTTTTGTCCTTAGGAAGGACAGTTTCACCTTTCAAGTGGTTCTTACCATGTCATAGCAAAACAACCAAATTCAAGGACATTCCATAAACAATGGACCCACATTAACTGAATGTTTCCTCGCCCCCAAGGAAAGCATGAAGGAAAGACTGCTAACTTTGTGGGCACTTCAGTGCCAAAGGGGCCCGTGATTACAGCAGGAGGCAAGCACTGCAGTGCCTTAGCTCATGATCTGTGCGGATGGAGTTTCTCCTGGTCAGTGCCTGAATGAACTGCCAACGAAATGTTTGCTGCTGCTGGTGTTAATAATGTCTTTTTAACAGATGAGACTCAGGGAAGCTTCTTGCCCAGGCATACACCTTAGTGGGAAGGCTGGATCTGAAAGCAGATAGGGCCATTCCAGTGAGGAGGAACACCTGCAGTGGTGGGGGTCCCAGGCTCCTCCTCCCCTGTCCTGTGGCTTACTGGCTAGTTTACTAGAAGATGAAAATGCTGCCTTCCCCTTGCAACTTCCATTTCTGCCCTGGAAAACCACAAGCCTGGGACACCTGTCGATCATCTCCTTGCCATGTAATTGTCATCTAACCGCAGGCTTGAGTAAGTTTCACTGTGACTATCTTCAGAGAATCCTGCGACCAGAACCATCTGTGGCCTGTTCCCTACAACCTCTAGGATTAAGTCCTACCCAGTATCAGCTTCCATGGGGATTCTGGAACTTTCCTGAGAAGGTCAAAGGGGTTTATGAACTAACATAAGGATCAGAATGAAAAGCTCTAACATGCATGAGCCTGAGGCAAATTTAAGTGCAATAAATTTGTGATGGAAACAAGCTCCACCCTTTATAATCCCTAACGTTAGTGACCATTCTCATGGATAACAGTGGGAGCTCAGGTCTAAAGGCACTTCTACAGCCACAGGATGGGAGAAAACTCATATTAGCTAGCTACCCTGGCTGAAAAATTAAGAGAAACATCATGTATGCAAGGAAGGTAGGCCTGATTCCCACCCAACCTCTCCTACTTCTCATAAATCAAGATTCTCTGACCTCATGCTAAAAGCAGTAAGATGATAGCTGGAGCCATGACAGGGTAGCTCAGCTGGTTAGAGCTCCATCCTGTCCTGATATACTAAGGCTGCAGGTTTGATCCCCAGTCAGCAACCAATGAAGGCACAAATAAATGGACCAACAAAACAATGTTTCTTTCTCTTTCGCTCCCTTCCTTTCTCTAAAATCAGTACTTCACAAAAAATTAAGTGGAGAAAGGGGGGGGGGGGGAGAGAAACAGAAACACTGATGCATAGAGAAATGTCGATCAGTTGCCTCTCTCACCCACAGAACTGGGGCCCTGGCCCACAACCTAGGTATGTGCCCTGACTGGGAACTGAATCAGCAACCTTTCAGATTGCAGGCCTGCACCCAAATCCACTGTGCCATACTAGTCAGGGCTAAAAAAAATTTAACTTAAAAAAAATTATAGCTGTGAGGGAGCCAAAGGTAACCAAAAACAAGATGCTTTAAGTAAACTTTATGGTATGTAAATTTTATCCTAATAAAAGCTGTTACAAAAAAATACAACTTACAGAACCATCTACAGGCAAAATTCAGTCTGTTTTAATCTGTACATTCAGCTCTTCAACAAGCAAAATACAAAGGTAAGATACACTGACAAATTTTAGGCATCCAATTTGTTTATTTCTTTAATTTTGGTTACTTTTCTTAAGCTTCCTCCAAAATCATCTTCTATCCCTATCACTGAGTTCCTCTAGGAATCTGCACTCCAGTCTCACTAGGGTGGGAGGCCTCTTGTTCTATAAGAGAAATACCAACTGCCACCCCTACAAGCCTGCCACACAGGTTTAATAATGTATTTGATGAGCTCAGAAAATGAGCTCATCAAATAGCTTATAAAGCATCAGCTATTTAATATTATTGCCATCTTACACTCAGAACTATTACGATTTGAGGGCAGTCGCATCAATCTTCCATTAACTTCCCATCTCAGAGTAGAAATGCAAGACCTTAAGACCTTAGAGTTGAAGGGCAAGAATGTGTTCTTCCCTGTGACATCCACAAGCCCTCTCCTGTCCAGGTGTTTGCTAAATGTTACCTAATGTCCTGACCACCTTACTAAAACTGGCAAATGTACACAGCCGAGCTCCCACCCTACAATCACCATCAGGCATTTCAGAAATTTCAGTCTATTCCCACCACCAGCAGAACTGTTGTTACATTACATACAGCTGTAGACAGGTGCCCAAGCTTAGGAGGCACTGTTAGTCAAATGCAAAGTAAATTAAGCTCCAATATTTGAATAAAACAAAGTTCACACGTAAGGAAGAATGCAAGGATTTGGATCCAGACCCACTTTTCCTACCCCACAATTCCCATCGATCGCCAAGAGGCTGACTCGGCTTTAACACTTCTCATCACCGGATTACGCTGGCCTAAAACCGCAGCAGCCCTGCACCTCATCTTTTTCCTGTGGGCTCCGACACATACCTTCAAACAAACGCCGCGGGTCTTTCTCGTCCAGTGTCAGCAGCTCCCGAGCAGCCTTACGGATCTTGGCCAGGGTAAATTTGACCCTCCAGACCTCACGTTTGTTCCGAAGCCCATACTCTCCTATAGAAAGAAAAGGAAGAAAAAAAAAAAATGGGAGACGGGAGATCGCGGGAGTCGACAAGGGAACAGGTATTATCCCCTGAAGTAGTGCAAAGTGGCTCCGGGATACAGAAAACCTTCCTAAACCACTAATAATTCTGAATTTGGGGAACAGGCAGGGAATAAACACCAGAGAACTTTGTACAGATGGAGCACGTGGCAGGCTTCACACACGTGCTAGCTTTCCCCCCCAACCCGAAAGCCAAAACCCTGCCTTGGCCACTCACCGATCAGCTTCAGCTCTTGGTCAAGGCGGGATTTCTCGAAGGGTCTCCGCGGGGTCACATAGGTTTTGCGACAAACCCAGCTTCGGGCTACCGGCATGTTGACTCCGCTCGCCCGCCTGCGCAGAAACAAAAGCTGAGCAGGAACGCAGGCGGCGCCTGCGCAGTCCCACAACTACGCTAGAATCCCGGGTCGCCCTGGAAAGATCTCGCGAGAACCTTCTCTAACGCTTCCATAAGCGGTATCACCCAACAAACGTGTAGCCGTCTGCTCCAACCACTCGCCTCTCACTCTCAGCCTAGTCACCGTCCTTATCAAAACTTGAAAGGTCCGCACAACCCTACAACCCAAGCTCGAACTAGAAATCAGAGTAAAGCACTCACCTACTCGCGGACTCAGAAAACTGAGAAAGAGGAGCCCACGCGCCCTAGCCGCGCTCTTATAGGAACGCAGCCTCCCTTTACGTCTTTACGTCATTACGCAGGGCGTATACATGCACCAATCAGAAGAGGCGTGGGCGGGCGGAAAACTGTGGAGGCAAGAGGCTGAGCAGGAGGGATGTTTGGTAATCTAAGGCTACCTCTTCTCGGTCTGACGGGAGGCGGAGCACGGTTGACCAGAGAAGTGGGATCCACTTCGCCTCCTGAGTGGCGACTAAAGTCCAACAACTAGCCTCCGAATCGGGTATAATGTTGGAAACGTTATCGCCACCTTCTCTAGACTTCAGCCGGCTGCCCTTCTGTGAAGAGACCACTAGAGGGCTGGAGCTTCGCGATTTCCTAAGCTCTTCCAGAAGCTGTTCTGTGGAGTCTGTGAATAATGAAGTGGTCGTTTTTCCTGTCAGAATAGCCTCACTCCGAAGCATAGCCAGAAGCCAGCCTGTCCCTTTGATCCCCGGCTACAAATCTAAGGTGTGAAAGCGAGGATTCACGTGTGACTTGCCTGAGGAGACACACCTCAGCTTGACATTCTGACAGGATTCCACTTTCGCCTGCCTTGCTTTTTGCAGACAAGGGGAAAAAAGATCTGGATAGAAATCCGCACATTCCTGGAATGTTTATAACCTAGTGGCTCTGGCTACCTCTGGGGACAGTCGCCCTCCCTTAGCGTGGGCCTCCGTTAATTTATTTATTCAGCAGCACAAGGAATTGTTCCACACGGTGACATACAGCGGTGAATAAAAAGCCCATCTACTCACGAAGCTCAGAGTCTTAGGGGAACAGAAAAATAATAAGTTGAAGGAAGTAAATCACTTCTGGTTGGGGTGCCACGAAGAAAATTAATTACTTATAATGAATGAGGGAAGATGATACTTCAGATAGGATGGTCCCGAGTGTACTCTTTAAGTAGATGACTTTTTTTTTCTTTTTAATAATTGAGCCTCAAGGGTAAAAAAGGCTTTCTGCCGCTTTATCAAAAACAGCAGTTTATACTCTGAGGTTCGTCCCCAGAACAGGGAAAATGTTGTGAAACCTCTTACTATATATTCTGAACCATCATGGCGCCATTTGTCACCTTAAAGAGTTTAGTTTTTGATGTGCTTTGTCAATATCTTACCCTTAGTCAGCCCCTAGGATTATTTCCTGCAGTCCTTTCCTCTCTGGAGGAATCCCATTCACACTAAGGGCTTTACTAATTATTGTTAGATGGTGTTTAATGAGCACTTTAAATGTGCTAGGCTTTGGGCTAAGCACTTCATCTGGGTTTTTTTTTCCAATTAATTTTTTTTTTGAGAATAAGAGAGGGAGAGTGAGAGAAACACTGATTTGCTCCACTTACTGATGCATTCATTGGTTGCTTCTTGTACATGCTTGACCAGGGGTTGAACCGGAAACCTTAGCATGTTAGGAAGATGCTCTCAGCAACTGAACTACCGTATTTTTTTGGACTACAAGATGCACTCCCCCCGCCCCGAAATTTGGGAGGAAAATGAGGGTGCGTCTTATACTCCAAACGTACCTTACCTGGCTCATGGGTGCGGCTGGGGGGGCAATGGTGGAACAGGGTCACACGTTATTAAATATTTTACCACATTTTTTTGCTTCAAAGGTTTTTTTCCTATTTCCCTCTTCTAAAACGTACGTGCATCTTATGGTGCAGCGCCTCTTATAGTCCTAAAAATATGGTACCTAGCCAGGGCCTTCTGGGTTTTTAATTCTTGTGACCTATAATTTTTTTAAAGACTTTTACTTATTTTTAGAGAGAGAGGAAGGGAGGGAGAAAGAGAGGGAGAGAAATATCAATGTGTAGTTGCCCCTTGTGCACACCACTCCCCAAGGACCTGGCCTGAAACCCAGGCATGTGCCCTGACTAGAATCAAACTGGCAACTCTTTGGTTCACAGACAGGTATTCAATCCACTGAGCCACACCAGCCAGGGCATAACCATGATTTCTATCACTAAAAATAACAATAGGTGGCATTCCTTACTATGTAAGTGGTACTGTTCTAAGAATTTTACTTGTATTAATTTATTTAATCCTCGATACATACTTAAAGAGTACTCTGAGAGAAGCTGTCCTCCCTCATTAAGGAGTACTAATACTATTATTAATCCTGTTTCTCAGAGACAGTACTGAGGCACCAAAAAAGGGTTACAGGACTTACCCAAGATTACACAATGTGGAAATAAATGAAAAAAGCAAAGGCTGTTTATACAGAGTGAGAGCATCAGTCACTCAAATTTTGGCAGAGACTTCAAGACAAGCAGGTTTTTAAAAATACTTTATTTATTTATTTATCTTTAGAGAGGAAGGGAAGGAGAGAAACATCAATGTGTGGTTGCTTCTCGTGAGCCCGCTGCCAGGAACTGGCCTGCAACCCAGGCATGTGCCCTGACTGGGAATTGAACCAGGATGCTCTGGTTCACAGGTCCGTGCTCAATCCACTAAGCTATACCAGCCAGGGCTCAGACAGGTAGTTTTACAGTGGAAGAAAAGGTATTGGCTTTAGGTGTGCACTCATTGGAGGCTGTTGGCCTGGGAAACTCCTGGAGGTGGGCTAATTTCAGGCATCCTATTTGATAGGTGAAGGGAGGGTATTTGGCTTTCTCCTGTTGGTCTTAAAATGGAACCAGCAACAAAAATTAGGGAAGCTGCCAGTTTCTAATCAAATCCTGGTCCTTTTGGACTGTTACAAGGATCATTGTTTCATCCATCTTCCTACCCTCTTTCCATCTCTGTCTGAGTCATGTTTTGGGGTTTTTTGTCTTTTTGTTTGTTTGTTTGTTTGTTTTTAATTCTATTTACTTATTCTTTTAGAGAGAGATGAAGGGAGGGAGAGAAGGAGAGAAACATCAGTTGGTTGCCTCTCACACAGAGGGGACCTGGTCCTCAACCCAGGTATGTGCCCTATCTGGGAATCAAACTGACAGCCTTTCAGTTTGCACGCTGGTGCTCAATCCAGTGGGCCAAACCAGCCAGGACTGGTTTTTCTGTTGACAGATTCTCTCAGATAAAAAGGTTACAGGAGGGCAGTAACCACATCTTTTCTACTTATCAGCAACTTAGTACAGGTCCAACATATAGTTGTCAACAAATTATTAAATGTATACTCTGGTTTCTCTTCAGATCGTATGAATATTTTGCCAAAAAATAAATTACTAAATGTATGAATAACTATATGCATCATCTATAGATCAGAAGTTCCCACAAACCTCTCCTTGGGTTTAATTTGCTAGAATGGCTCATAGAACTCAGTAACATTTTACTCACCTGATCCCTGGTTAAATATAAAAGAATATAATTCATTTTGCCCTGACTAGGGCAAGGTATGGGGAAAGGGCAGAGAGTATCCATGCCCTCTCCCCAAATCTCCATGTCCTCCAACACACTGATTAATTAAATCATTGCAAATGTTGGCTGAACTCAATCTCCAGCCCCTCTCCCCTTGGTGGAGTAGGTATATTTAAAGTTCCAACCCCCTAATCAAATCGTTGGTTCCTCTAGCAACCAGATCTCATCCTTAGGTATATTGAAAAATAATTTCATTTAAACTCCGGTATGGTTAAAAGGGTTTATTATGAATATACAAACACCTCTACTGATCTTAGCACTTGGAAATTCCAAGGATTTTGGAGCTCTGTTCCAGAAATGGATGAAGACCAAATTTGTATTTCTCATAATAAATCACAATAGTGACAAGTAGTAAAGCAAATATATCAAGAAGGGGGATGCAGGGTGTGTTAAATTTTAAGGTAGGGTGACCATGGAAGGCCTAAGGTATTACATTGAAGGAAAGACCAGCCTACAGTGAGGGACAAGACCATATGACCACCCGGGGGGGAAACATTCCAGGTTAGGTTGCAAAAACAGTGAAATGGGAGCATGCTGTTGAGGCCAGTGTGGCAGCAGCAGAGTAAGCACAGAGAGGGATGGATGGATGGGGTCAGTTAAAGAGAAACCTGCAACATGGGGCCTTTGCTTTTACCCAGAGATGGAAGTGATTGGAAAGGGTTTTTTTTTTTTTATTTCACTTTATTTATTTATGTTTAGAGAGGGGAAGGGAGGGGGAGAAACATCAATGTGTGGTTGCCTCTCGTGCGCCCCCAACTGTGGACCTAGCCAGCAACTCAGGGATGTGCCAACTGGGAATCAAACCCATGATGCGTTGGTTTTCAGGCTAGCACTCAATCCACTGAGCCAGACCCACCAGGGCTGATTGCAAAGTTATAAAGAGAGGAGTGATATGGTGTGACCTACCTTTTAATCTGATTATGGCAGCTTTTCTGTTGGAAACAGACAATAGAGGGGCAATGGTGGAAGTCAAGGAAATGAATTAGGAAGTTACTACAATAATCAGAGTGAGTGATGTCCTGACTTTTGGCAACATGTTGGTAGTAAAGGTGAACGAGGTGCTTAAATTCTAGGTCTCCTGTTTTTGAAAGTAGTGTCTATAGAATTCAGTGACTGATTGGATGTGGGGACACCAGCCACAGTATATTTTTTAAAGGCATTGACACACTGTAATCACCAAAGTCCATAGTTTACATTACAGTTCATTCTCAGCACTGTACATTCTATAGATTTGGACAAATATATAACATGTATCGCCATTACGACGTCATACATAGTATTTTCACTGCCTTAAAAATTCTGTGTTCCTTTTTCAGAATGTAGCCTTTTCAGAATGACTTTTTCCACTTAGTAATATGCATTTATGGTTCCTCCATGTCTTTTCATGGCCCGAAAGCTCATTTCTTTTTACTGCTGAATAATATCCCAATGTCTGAATGGACTACATCTATTCACTAACTGATGGACATCTTAGTTGTTTGCAAAGTTTGGCGATTATGAATAAAGCTGCTATAAGCATGGGTGCAGATTTTTGTGGGGGCCTAAGTTTTCAACTCCTTGGGTCAATACCAAGAAGCATAGAGTAATTTAATTGTCATCAACTGCCAAACTGTCTTCCAAAGTGACTGTACCATTTGCATTCCCACCAGCAATGAAAAGTTCCTGTTGTTCCACATTTGCAGCAGCATTTGGTGTTGGCAGTGTCCTGTATTTTGGCCATTCTAATACGTATCTAGTGGTATGTCATTGTTACTTTGCATTTTCATGATGACATGATGTGGAGAATCTTTGCATTGGCTTATTTGCTATCTCTATCTTCTTTCATGAGGTGTCAAGGTTTTTAGCCCATTTTTTAAATCATGGACTTTATTTTTTTATTGTTGAGTTTTAAGAGTTCTTTGTATATTTTGGACAATAGTCCTCTATCACATATGTCTTTTGCAATATTTTCTCCAAGTTTTTCATTTTAACATAGTCCATCTTATCAATTCTTTCTTTTGTGGATCATGGCTTTGGTGTTGCATCTAAAATGTCATTGCCAAACCCTAGGTCATCTAGGTTATATCCTAGGAGTTTTAGACTGTTATAGCTTTGATTTTACATTTAGGTCTACAAAGAATTTGGAGGTAATTTTTTGGTCAGGGGTGTAAGGGTCTGTGTCTAGGTTTTTGTTTTGGGGTTTTTTTGGCATGTGGATGATCTCACAATAGTTTTTAAAGAGGATCTTTACTTTGTTGCAGAGAGGAACGTTGGAGAGTATATTTACAAGCCAATTACCAAAGAGACACAAAGAATAGTATTAGTCAAGCAGGGGTTAGTCCTAACTACACATTGTTTCAATATATGTATAAACGTTGAAAGTTGGTACTGATAACGGCCTGGTAATTTCTTAAGCAAAAAGATAGATATAGGGATCATTTTATAAATACATATTTTATACCTGTGTTTTAACTTTTATAAAAATTATGGAATATGATACACACATAAAAAAGATCTAGAACATAAATGTACAGTATAAAAAATAATTTTCAAACACCTGTATAAATACTTATCAGGCCAAGAAAAAGAACACCACCAATATTCCAGAAGGTCCAAGAGCGCTTCCTGACATTCCCCTCCCCACTCTAACTCCTGTAGTCAAACAGCAACACTTACCTCCTTCTTTTTAGTTCATGTGTTGTTTTTTTTTAAGATTTCATTTATTTATTTTTAGAGATGGGAAGGGAGGGAGAAAGAGAGGGAAGAAACATCAATGTGTGGCTGCCTCTCATGTGGCCCCCACTGGGGGCCTGGCCTGAAACCCAGGCATGTGCCCTGACAGTCAAACTGGCAACCCTTTGGTTCATAGTCTGGCACTCAATCCACTGAGCTATACCAGCTGTTCATGTGTTATTTTCATTTATATCCTTGTATGCATCTGAACTATTTCATGAAAATCTTCCCAAAAGGAAGTCTAACACTGGGAATGGCTCAGGCTTCATTCAGAGTCACAAAGACCAGGTTTTAAATCCCAGCCCTGCTGCTTACTAGCTGTGTGACCTTGGACAAATCATTTCTCCTCCTCTAGGCTTTTCGTCATCTGTATAAGAAGATGAAAATGGCCACATTTCCCAGGACTGTCCTAAGGATTCAAATCACAGCTCCACATTTATTCAACAAGTTTATTGAGAGCTCTTGGGACCTAAGCCCCGTAGAAAATAGAGATGAATCAAACCAGTCTTCATTCTCAAGAAGTTCCCAGTTTGGAAATAGATAACTACAAAAACAATACAGCCAACAAGTGCTTTAAAACATGGAGGCGCATAAAAAGAATATAGTGTTTATAAATTTGCAGTCAAAAACTAACCATAGGAAGAGGTCGGAAGGTGTCCTCTCCTCCCACGCAGAGATGAACTTGGGACCACCTAGAAAGGCTCTTGCCACAGATACACCCACACCCCACAGGTCTCTGGAGTTCACTGCAGGCTGGCCCACTGCAAGGAGGTGTAGACCACCTTACCATCAGACTGTGGAGAACAGAGGAGCAATGTCTTTCTGACGCTGGTTCCGAGGCGGCCAGCAGAAACCAGGTCCTGGAGCGGGATGGGATCCCCAGGAGCCCAGCACTGGGCAATGTAGTGGGCATGAAAACGGAGCGGGTCACCTGGGTAAGGAAGAGAGGCATGCAGCAATTCCAATAACACTGGGTCGAAGACCAGACATAGGAAGGAGAAAGGGAATCATTTTAGCAATCACTGTGAGTATTTTTTTATTATTATTATTTTTTAGTATTTTATTTATTTTTAGAGAGAGGGGAAGGGAAGGAGAAAGAGTGGGAGAGAAACATCAACGTGTGGTTGCCTCTCATGTGGCCCCTACTGGGGACCTGGCCCAGGCATGTGCCCTGACTGGGAATCGAACTGGCGACCCTTTGCTTCACAGGCCCGTGCTCAATCCACTGAGCTACACCAGTCAGAGCCACTGTGAGTATTTTAAAACAGATATCCTTAGGCTTAGAAATTTGTCTCCTCAAAATTTTTCTCAAGGAGTATAAAAGTGTACCAGCACTAAAGTCCACCCATATACATTACCCAGTGCTAAGACTCTCACACCTCATCTGCAGAAGACTTAGTGGACAGTTTCCAATCAACAGTTAAGCTCTGACTACTTTGCAGGTAGCTCTATCTTTTCATATTCTTAGGGGAAATAAAAAGGGTGATTCTCTGCAGATTTATTTTTTTAAGCTTTCAGTTACACAGTAAAGACACCCTTACTACAAATTCATGTTAAGTGATTCATTAAAAGTTCCTTTACCACCCCTGGCTGCTGTGGCTCAGTGGACATTTCAGTTGCTTGTCTGCAAACTGAAATGCCGCCACTTTGATTCCCAGTCAGGTCACATGACTGGATTGCAGGCAATGTACCCAGCTGAGGGCATGCTGTGAGAGGCAAATGATCCATGTATCTCTTGCACATCCATGTTTCTCTTCCTCTCTCCCTACCTTCCCCTCTAAAAATAAATAAATAAAATCTTTTTTTAAAAAAGTCTCTTTAGCTATACCTGATGCAAATTCCCTTTCAGAGGTAACCATTCAGTTTGGCTGGAGTACATCCTTTCACGCCTTTTTCTACCTTTCTGATGGGGTTCTCTTAGTCTACTTAGTAATCCATTTTATTATAAGTTCCTTTCATATTCTTTCACTTGACTCACAATTTTTAAGACTACTTAAATAATGTGTATATAATTGCGTAACAATATAAAATATGACTTACTTTTTACTATATGTGTTTTTCTTTCTTTTTTTTTACTATACACATTTTTCTACAAGCTATTCTTTTTCTCTCCCTTTGGTCACTTTAAAAATACATGTACATGGAGCTATACCAACCTGACAACTAATGGTTTCTCTGACAGCTAACAGTGATGTTTAACCACTAAGCTGTTACTCATTATTCTGGTTGTTATCTAACTTTTGAATACTTTAAGGAATCCTGCAATGAATATTTCTTATATGTTTGGTATCATATCAAAGTATTTCTAACTGAATCTTCCAGATGAAAGGACGTGTTAATAAAATTTCCTGTACTGCTCTCCAAATAAGCTTGGGCTCCCAAGTGTTGCCTGTCCTTCCATGTGTTTCAGAAGCTGAGGAAATGAGACAAAGGAAAAATGCAGAATGTGGTGGGATTGTGAAGAAAGGGGCAGCAACCAGAGGTCCCAACCCAAACTCACCAGGATAGACTAGGAAGTCGCCCCCAAATTTGCCAGCCGCACTGAGGAAGAAGCCTCGCTCCCACAGGTCTCTGTAGATGCTGTAGCGCAGCTCATGGACTGGACGGCCAGCATGGGGCCAGTCCTTGGACCGGACACGCCAATCCAGGGGCCTAGCCTTGATGGGTCGAGGCCTAGCAGTGGCTAGCTGGACGAGCATAGCAGACCTGGGCAAGGGGATGACTCCATCTGAAGGCCCTGGTTGGGGAGAGGTGGATCCTAGGGAGGTAAACCCAAGAGTTGGGTGACTCCAAGACACAAAGTCTTCCCATCCCCGAGGGAATCCAGGCCCTAGAGTCCCAGCCAAAAATCCCAAAAGTTCTCTCACCCCCTTCCCCTAACCCCTGGTCTGCACCTCCCATCCTCACCTGCTTCCTCCTGTTCTCCAGGAGCCTGGCTAGCACTGGCCCCATTATCTCCAGCCGCTTGGTTTCCACTGGCCTCCTGACTCTCACTTGTCGCTGAATCCTGTTGCACCTTCTGTTTCTTGGCAGCCTGGCCCTCTGCGATCTTCCCTAAGAGCTCCTGACGACGGGTCTCACGGGCCTCAGCTGCCAGGGCACTTTGCTCCTGGAAGCCCTGCTCCTGATGGCGCTTGTAGGATGCCACAGCCTGAGAAGTAAACTTAGCTGCAACCTCAGGATACAGGTATGCCCTCCCCGAGGAAGCCCGGAATCCTGACTCCCTGATCCTTCCCATCTCAGGGCCTGAACCTGTGGATCCCCAGTCTGCCACTCCCATGTTATCCCAGAATCCATGACTCGTAGACCCCTCCTCCACTCAGGATCTCGGAGTCCAAGTCTCCATCTTCTCCCGCAAGTCGAATTCGAGCCCCTTGGCCGCCCCCCTTACCAGGCTGTGTTCGCGGGGATCCGGGCGCGGGGCGCTGACCAGGGTTACAGCGCCTATCTCAGCCAGAAGCCGCGCCTCCTCGGGCATCAGCAGCAGCGGGAGACCCAGTCGCGAGTTCTGACGGGGCCCGCGGGGCAGGGCGCCCACCGTGCGACCCCCAACTCCTAGTCGCTCCCGCAGCGCCTGCACTGCTTCGGTCCCCCACACAAGGGAGCGGCCGTTCGCCACCTCCACCACCAGCATCCTCCTACGGGAGCCCGGGCACCTGGGTTACAATAGAGCGGTCCGGAGCGCTCCCACCGCCTCAGGGATCTGGGTGAAGCACCGCCCCTGGGCCTCGGGTGGGTAGAGCCCCGCTAGCCTCGCGGTCCGCCACCTGCGGAACGCGAGAGGGGGGCAGGCCCCGCCCCCTGGCGGCAGGCACCACCCCCCGGCGGTTCAACCAGGCCCAGGGCCGCGGGAAACAAGGCCCTTTCCCTCGCCGAGGCACCCGTGTCAGCATTCTGGTCTGGGCCAAGGCTGTCGCAGCACCCGCCATCATGCCATCGCGCCTTCGCGCCTCCGAGAAAAGCCTCCTAGCGGGGTCACGCCCCCTTCCAGAGGTCCACTTGCATCGTCCTCTCGCAAAGCAGGTGTGTCCGTTCTGGCCTTCGGGTCAGGTGTGGGGACCTCCAGAGGCCAAAGCCAACTCCGATTCGGAAGGCTAGGAACTCGGCTCCTCCCCCAGCACGAGGCCCGCCCCTTCCCGAAGGTAGGCAGTTCCGCGTTCGGGAGCCCTCGGCCCGTCCGAACAGACCCGCCCCTTTCCGAACAGAAGCAATGGTTGTTTGCGCACCATTGGCTCCGTTCTTCCGCAGCCTGTGGCCGCACATCCTGCGGCCACCGGCGGTCCCCCAATTAGGGAGTCCCCGCCCCCAGACAGAGCCACACAGCCGGAGGCCCCGCCCCCCTGAGCACCAGCCGTCCATTCTACGCTCGGGCGGGCTCACCCCACACGCGGGCGCGCGGTCGCCTCCTCGCTTCTCTTCAGAATGTGGCACCGTCCTCCGAGAAAACCAGTTAGGCAACTCGTAAACACCTACTCGCAGTCGCAGCGGTGCCACCCCCTACGCGGCGTGCCAAGCGCTGCTTCTTTCACGCAACACCCCCGTAAGGCCCCCCCACCTTGCGTCAATTTCGTCACACCTCACCTCCGCGAAGCCGGACGCCTGGGCCCCGCCCCTCAGGGCCGTAGCCCCGCCTTTCCCTTAAAGTGGAACACCTTAACCCCGCCCCCCGAAACGCTCCTCCCCTTGTCCATAGTGTTCTGTGACTTCTGAACTTGAAACGCCTTTCCCTGGCCCCGCCCTCCTGGGAGCCCGGAGCCCCACCCCTTCACGAAAGGACACATTGGCCCTGGGAAAGTCCAGATCCCCGCCTCTTTCACGTGGCCCGAGCCTGTGGCCCCGCCTCCCTCCTAAATGTAAGATTCCTCTTATCAGCAAACCCAGGTCACTGGCACCGAACTCTCTCCGAAGGGAACCGAAGCTGTGGCCCCTCCCATCTCCGTCCGAAGCTCTGGCTCCATCTACTGCCGAACACAGACCTTCAGTATTCGACTACTTCCGAAGAACTCCGAAGCACTTAGCTCCGCCTCCAAGCTGTCTCCCGCCGCCTTCTGAACGCTGTCCAGGCCCCGCCCTCTTCCCAGGTTGGTCAAGTCTCTGAGCCCGAAGCTCTGGAGCCTCCGCCTTCAGATCGTGAAGCCCCGCCTCGTGGAGTATTCGGCTGGGTAGATCCTGCGTCCAGCTCTAGCCGCGGACGCGTGCTTCCGGCGCCGGGTGCCAGCTCTTTCCCGGCCTAGACCGTAGCCGGACGGGGTCGGCTCACCCGGCTCCGGATCGCGCAGGTCGGCCGCCCCAGAGAGAAGCGGGGACGTGCTGGGCGGGGAGGCGTGGCCGGCCCGGGGTGGACCGCGGAGCCGGGCCCAGGTGGGCCCAGGTGGGCCCAGGTGGGAAAGCCGGTAGACGCGGATGAGTCGCGGTGGATCGGCGGGGTACGGGGGCGGAGGCGGCGCTGGAGGGCTGCCAAACTCGGGGTGGCATAACCGCCTGTGGCTTCGCTGGGCGGACCCGACCTCGCTGGGTGCTCGAAGTCGGAGTGGGGCTGGGGAGAGGACCTGAAAAGACCCTTATGGGGCCCGCTTTCCCGGTTGTAGGCAGAAGAGGGGTCTGGAGCTCCAAAACAGGTGCAAGCTGGAGACCTGGACTCCTCTGAGCCCCTCGAAGGCGGGTGTGGGTCTGGAGACCTGCGTGCTCGAAGAGGGAGGAGGCTCCAGGGGACCAGAAAGTGATTCCTGGGTCCTCGAAGGAGGAGGGGGCTGGAGGTCTGGCCTCCTGGGATCTCACAGGAGAGGAGGGGTAGAGGTCTGGGTTCTCAAAAGAGGGGGCCTGGAGATGGAATCCTCTATTCTCTAACGAGGAAGGACCTAGAGGTCCGGATTCTTATGTTGTCAGAGAGGAGCTGGGGGTAGGACTCCACGGTCCTCGACAACTGGGGCCAAGGAGCGGATTCCCGAATCCTCTAAACCGGAGCGGCTCGGAGTCCTGGGTTCCTGGGTTCTCATTACGAACCTCTGCCCTTCCCCCAGACCATGTCGCCCGAAGAATGGACATATCTAGTGGTTCTTCTTATCTCCATCCCCATCGGCTTCCTCTTTAAGAAAGCTGGTGAGTCAGGTTCCCTCCCCAGTGGAAAATAAGGAGGGGTGGAGCAGGGTAGGGGGAACCCCCCCCCACCCCCGGGAAGGTTCCAGGCTTATACTCTCTCTTCTCCCTGCAGGACCTGGGCTCAAGAGATGGGGGGCAGCTGCTGTGGGCCTGGGGCTCACCTTGTTCACCTGTGGCCCCCACACTTTGCACTCTCTGGTCACCGTCCTTGGGACCTGGGCCCTCATTCAGGCCCAGCCCCGGTGAGGATGGGGTGTGGGGAGAATGGAGGGAGAGAGGAAGCAACCTGTTTCCTCTGTGGGTCTTTCTTGATTTCTGCCTCACTCTGTGGACATCTCTTGTTTATCTCTTGTTTCTTCATTTGTCTGTTATTGTTGTTGTTGTTGTTGTTGTTTTTCTTTCTCTCCTGCCTTCTTCTGGGTCTTGTCCCTATGTGTTTGTCTGGGTCCTCTACATCCATGTTATGGATTCAGGAGCGAGGAGGACATTACTGTCCGCTGGCCCCATCACCATTGGTATTCCCTCCCCTTCCTCCCAGTAGAAGGTGTTCACCCTGAAGCCTCTCTTAACCTCTTCTCATGCTTTTCACTGTTACTGTGCGTATTTGTATGTGGCTGTGCCTCTTTTACTGCTGTGTCAGTCTTGCTCATTCTGCCCCCATTTTCTGTCTCTGAAGGTGGGGAGGTGGGGGAGGATTTGTAATTAGAATCCGGGGAGGTGGAGGCCAAGTGCCCGAGCTCAGCACCACAGCCTCCTTCCTCTGCCCCAGCTCCTGCCACTCCCTGGCCTTAGCCTGGACCTTCTCCTACCTCCTGTTCTTCCGCGCACTCAGCCTGCTGGGTCTGCCCACTCCCACGCCCTTCACCAATGCTGTCCAGCTGCTGCTGACGCTGAAGGTCAGATTCTCCTCCACCCTCTCCTGTGCCAGTTAACCCCCCAATTCTACCTACCGCTCCCTGATGCTCCGGTGGGGGACAGGGGAGGCTGGATTTTATCTCCCACACACCCGGGGGCGGGACTTCAACCCGCAGCTCTTCCCTGGGGTAAAGAGGTATCCCGAATAACGCCGGCGTAGATGCCAGATGCTAAGTAAGTGCCCACTAACGTGTCCTTGCATCTTTGGGGCAAGCCATGTTGCAAAAGAGGAAGAGCAGCTTTGAGGAGAAGGTTCTTATCTAAGCACATGAAACAGGGACATCCAGGTCTGGCTCTCAAGTCTCCTGGGAAGATGGGTGAAAAGAGATCCTCAGGCCCCACCCCAGTGGTGAGTTCCCACCGTGCCCTGGCGTCTGGCGACACGTCAGTGAACAGCAAGCCAGGTCTCTTCAGGATGGGAATTCAGGACAGGCAGCCGTTGCTTAGCCAGAAGAGTTGGAGGAACAAGGATTGGTCCAAGAAGGAAGGAGGAACAGCAGGGGCCACACCACGCAGGGCCTTGTGAGCCAACGTCAGGAGTTTGGAGTTCTTCCTATGGGGGCCCAAGATCCCTTGGAAGAGGTTTTTGGAGTGTTGCTGTCATGGGACCAAACTTGCACATTGGAAAATACTCTGGGTACTTCGAGGAGATTGCAGCAGAAAGGGCAAGATGGGATGAGGTCAGGCTCTGTAATCAAAGCCCAGCTGGCAAGCAGTGGTGGCGGCTTGCTCAGGCTGTCAGTGGGTCGGCAGTCTGAGTCCCAAGAGGAAACGCGGCATTTAGGATAGCTTGAGGACTTATCATTTACAACAGGGTGGAGGACGTGGAGGAGCCAGGAGGGACAGTGCAGGAATCCTGGGCCAGCAGCCGGGGAGGGTCGCCAGGGGAGAGAGGAGGTGCAGGTGGGGGGGCCTGGAAGGAGAAGACATGTAGAGGCACCCATCCTGAGATGTACCTGGGGTCGCACCAGCCCAAAGCAGTCCTACAAGGGAATGAAACTCCAGCCCTCAGTCCTGCCTTTCTCCCTCTCCACCTGAGGCTCTCGGTGGACTAAACAAGAAGCGGGAAGGTGCAGAGCTCTTCCCTGATGCAGAGCCGGCCTTGGGTCTATGCAGAAAAGGGTAGAGAGCAGACGTGAAGGAGCAGGCTGAGCATATTGAGCCTGGTAATGGGGGCAAAACAAAAGAGAGACCTAAAGGAATAGATGTGGGGAGCTATTGGATGGTGGTGCCATTGCCTGAAGCAAGAGTCTAGAAGCAGACACCTGGTTCAGAGAACGGGTAATACCAGGTTCCACTGTGCACATGCCCAGTAGACATCTGAGTATTGGTAAGGGGCAACTTGGTGAATAGGTTTGGAGGAGAGAAGCCTGGCCGAGGGTAGAGTTGGGGAGTCACGAGGTGTGGGTGGGGGTATCTAAAACTACAAAGGGAGAGAACAGAAAAATGAGGCCCAGCCGGCCCAGGAGTGAGCCCCGGGGAAGGCCTACCAGCAATAGAGGAACAAAAATGCCATATTTTTTTTGGAGCATACAACTCTAGATGCTCCCTGGGGAGTAGAGCTCAGCTCCCAGCTGCACCCCAGCATCCCTGGGCTCCCGAGAGGGGTATAGCTTAAGGGAGGGAGGTGGTGTGAGGGGGTGCCAGGTCTGACCTGTGCCCCCCCCCACACACACACCCCTTCCTCCCAGCTGGTAAGCCTGGCTAGCGAGGTACAGGAACTGCACCTGGCCCAGAGGAAGGAAATGGCCTCAGGCTTCAACAAGGGGCCCAGCCTGGGTCTGCTGCCCAACGTTCCCTCTCTGATGGAGACGCTCAGCTACAGCTACTGCTACGTGGGAATCATGACAGGTGAGTACATCTGCCCCTCAGGCCTGCCGCTCCTCGCCCTCTCCATTCCAGCATCTGCTGCTCTGAGGGTGAGCTTCTGTCTGACCCTCCCCCTGGACCCGAGGCTCCTCCAGGGGAGACACGCATTGCTCCCAGTCTACGATCCCCATAGCTTTTCTAGGGGCAAATAGGAGATGAAGGAGAAAAGTCTATGCAGACTTACTGCCCAGAGAACAGATATGCACAGCTTACGGCTGCATTTTAGTTTCAGAAAATGCTTGTCATGAATGTCGACCTCATACAAGGCTCTGGTTTTTATGACAACTTTATTCAGCTGTCACTGACATATTTTCCCACCGAGAATCACATCCGGTTCGCTGGTTTTTGCTATATTCACAGAAGTGTGCAACTATCCCTGCCACATAGCTGGGGGCAATGTCATCACCCGGAAAGGAAACAATGCCCTCTTTAGCCCCATCCCCCGAACCTCTTTGCAATCCCAGCCCCTGGAAACCACTGATTAACTTTCTGTTCGTGTGGTTTTGTTTATTGGGAACATTTTAGAATGGAAGTGTGTGGCATGTGGCTTTTTGTGACCTGTAAGGCTCCTTACACCTGCCACTTCTTTGTTGTTTATTATTATATTATTATTATTATTATTATTATTATTATTATTATTATTATTATTAGAGGGGGAAGGGAGGGAGAAAGAGAGGGAGAGAAACATCAATGTGTGGTTGCCTCGCACGCCCCCTACTGGGGGCCTGGCCCACAACTCGGGCGTGTGTCCCAACTGGGAATCCAACCTGCGACCCTTTGGTTCGCAGGCCAGGGCTTGGTTCACTGAGCCACACCAGCCAGGGCCCCTGTCACTTCTGTTAATCTCCCCTGCCCCTGCCCGAAGCCAGGCCATCGTGTCATCTGAAACAGTCTCGCATTGTCCATCACTGTCCTTCCGCTGTCCCCACCCTGCTCAGCAGCCGAAGGGTCCTCCTGAAACGTGACCAGGACTCGGCACTTCCTGCTGGAACACCTCCCCGGGGTCTCCTAGCGCAGAGAACGAAGCGCAGAGTCCTCCGGGGTTCCTGGGAATGAGTCTGTCTCTCTGACCGACTCCATTTGAATCAGAGCCTCATTGCCTCTCACTGTCGGGGGTCTTTGTCCCTCTCTACAAGTATCTGTCCATCTTTTCTTCTCTCCGAATCCCTGGTCCTCCCCTCTGCGGGTCTCCTTCCCCGGTCCCCACCAGGCCCAGTCTCTGACGGCTGCCCCTGCCCCTCCCGCCACAGGCCCGTTCTTCCGCTACCGCACGTACCTGGACTGGCTGGAGCAGCCCTTCCCCGACGCAGTGCCCAGCCTGCGGCCCCTGCTGCGCCGCGCCTGGCCGGCCCCGCTCTTTGGCCTGCTCTTCCTGCTGTCCTCGCACCTCTTCCCGCTGGAGGCCGTGCGCGAGGACGCGTTCTACGCCCGCCCGCTGCCCGCCCGCCTCTTCTACATGGTCCCCGTCTTCTTCACCTTCCGCATGCGCTTCTACGTGGCCTGGATTGCGGCTGAGTGCGGCTGCATTGCCGCCGGCTTCGGGGCCTACCCTGTGGCCGCCAAAGCCCGGGCCGGGGCCGGCCCCACCCTCCAATGCCCACCCCCCAGCAGGTCAGGCGGCGGGAGGGAGGTGACCCAAGGCCCGGCAGGCCCCATCACCACGGGCTGGCCCTGCCCCTAGCGGGGAGGATATTGGGGAGCAGGGGGCAGGCCCACCACCTGTTGTTGGCGCAGCGTCACCCCTGGGCCACCACAGCCCATCTTCTCCTGTGCTGGGGAACAGCACTCCTAATCCTTATGGATAATCCCTTGTTGCCAGCGCTTGCCACCCTTTGGGATGAGGGATTGCTCTTTGTTGCTAGGAAAAGGAAGGTGATATCCTAGCAACCATTTGCCATCCCTCTGTTGCCATGGAAGCGTCACCCCAATAACCCAGTTGTTCCTGGTTGCTATCCTTGGGTGGTGATGGCTTGCTCTTTTGTTGCTAGGGAAATGGTTCATTAGGAAACTGGACACTCTTGGTTGCTAGGGAAGTGGGTTCCCTAACAACCTTGGTCCAATCCTTCCAGCCAAAAGGGATGCTCTTTGCTGCCATGGAAACGGCAACCTCTAAACTGCCCCTTTGTTGCTAGGAGCCAGCACTCCCGCCCATGGGGTGTTAGCACATAACCTGCAGGTGTCCTCTGTTTCTAAAGAAACCGCATCTCTGATGGCGCTGGCCTCTAGCAGAGCAGACACCATTCCTAGCAACCACAGGTTACCTTCTCATGTTGCTAAGGAACTTATGTTGCTAAGGTAACAAAGGATTGACATTGTTGCTAGTAATGCCACCCCCTCTAGCTCCTGCAGTGCCAGGTAAGAAGCACTGGTGGTCATCTAACAGCTCTCTTGTTGCTAAGGAAGTGTTGCTCCTGGGTTGCTGGGGAAACGGTGCCCCTAGCAACAGAGAATGGACTGACTGTTACTAGAAACCATGGTCAGCTTCAGCCAAGGCTGGGGGAGCAGCCCCTCCTCTATGTAAGTTACGAAATATTCCTTGATAGGGTGGGGCCATCCCCTCCTACATGTGAACTGCCATTCCGTTTTGGGGGAGATGGCCCCCCAACATGAACTTTTTCCCACTGCCCTCATGTGGGCTTCCAGTTACTGGAGAGGGCGTCCCCCAGATAATGTCAGGGGGAAGCCAAAGCCTTTTTTTCTTTTTAAAAAATGTTTGTTTTTTTACTGAATTGAGAAAGAGAAAATGAAGAACATCAATTCTTTATTCCATTTCTTTATGCATTCACTGGCTGAGTCTTGCATGTACCCTGACTGGGCACTGAACCCACAGCCTTGGCATATTGGGATGGTGCTCTAACCAACTGAGCTCCCGAGCCAGGGCTGGAAGGCTTTTCTAACCCTGCTAGCCCCACTCCGAGTGGATGGCTCCCCTCCATTATCAGAAGCCACCGGGGCCCAGGCTGGTGTAGCTCCGTGGACTGAGTGAGGGCCTGCGAACCAAATGGTCGTAGGTTCAATTCCCAGTCAGGGCACATGCCTGGGTTGCCAGCCAGGCCCCCACTAGGGGGTGTGTGAGAGGCAACCACACACTGATGTTTTTATCCCTCTCTCCTCCCCTTCTCTCTAAAAATACATACATAAATAAATAAATCTTAATAAAGAAGTCCCTAGGGGCTCAGGTGGGCCAAGGATGTCCCCCGCAGCAAGGGGGTGTTACCGCCAGTGACCCAGGAACCACCGTTTTGCTGGGGATGACACTTGAACAATCATATGGACCAATAGCCAAAGGCCCTTTCCGCAAACTTTTCTAGACATCCAAGGCATTGTTGCTAAGGAACACCCTTTTCCTAGCAACAACACCATCCAGGCCTAGAACATCTCCTTAGCAACCACGGACCACCTCATGGTTAAAGATACTACTTTCCTAGCAACCACCATATCTGACAACACCAAAAGGACCGCACTTGCAGATTTCTCTAAATACACCGAGCTTGGTTGCTAAGGAATGGTCTTTTGCTGGCATCGGAGATCCGGTGAAGAGTCAGGTTGCTAAGGACCAGTAGCCTAGCAACAGGTAGCCCTTCACGGCTTTTTCGCAGGGCCTCATTTCCAAGAGAACAATTATTGTTGAACTCTGCGCCCCCTTTTCACCATCCTCCCCCAAAAGGGCTCCTTGTCTGGGGTACCCTCCCCCGTTGCCCTAGCCATTTGGACAGCCAGAGAGGGCTGTCATCTGCGCAGGATCCCCTCCTTAGCACCGGGGCTGGGACAGTAGCCAGTGTCGGGAAGGGGCCTGGCTGAGTTGCATGTCTGTCCCCCACCTCATCCTCCACCCCCCAGTCTGGAGAAGGCGGCTGCCCTGGAGTACGACTATGAGACCATCCGCAACATCGACTGCTACCACACAGACTTCTGCGTGCGGGTGCGGGAGGGCATGCGGTACTGGAACATGACGGTGCAGTGGTGGCTGGCGCAGTACATCTACAAGAGTGCGCCCACCAGCTCCTATGTCTTCAGGTGAGCTTGCCAGCCCTACACCATACGGAACTACATCTCCCAGCAGCACCCGGGGCCGCTTGCACCTTCTCGGGCTGAGCCTCCCACCCCTGACCATCATGGGAGTTGTAGTTTCCCGAACTTGTGCTTCCGCTGACTTGCATTACCCTGGTGAATGCTTCACTGTCTTTGGGCCTCAGTTTCTACCTTTGTAAAGTCAGCCTTACTGGACAGAAGGAGTACAGTGAATCCCGTGGACTCAATAGCTAGACTTTCTGAAATCTCAGCTCTGGAAACTAGCTAAGAATCCTGGGACAGTGAGTTCTGTTTCCTCTGACACGTGAGGGGAATGGTGTTACCTGTTTCATAGGCTGATGTGAGGACTGAGCGAGATAAAGTATGACGTGTACTTAACGTGAGGCCTGGCAGGTAAGTGCTAGCTGTGTGTTAGGTTCTATCATTCTTCACTCCCACTGTGTCTTGGGGAGGAGACCTTGTGCCCTCCCTTATCTTCACAACCTTGGGAAGTAGGAACTGTTACTCCCATTTGACAGATGAGGACAGTGAGACTCAGGCACATTGGGCCATCTCCCGAGGGTCTCTCAGCCTCCCTGGAGACACCAGATGAGGTCAGGATACCCGATGGCACTTTCTCCTAAGGAAGCCATTGGTGGTGGCAAGTTCTGAAGGTGGACTTAGCTCAGTGTGTGACCTGATTTATGATCTGAAGATCGACTCTGGCCTTGTGTGCAGGAGGTAGAAGTGGAGGAAGGCAGCAGGAAGTAAAGCCAGGGGACAAATTCGGAGCCCTTGGGGCTAGTGAGTTGGGAGATGATGGTGTCCTGGAGTAGGAAGCAGAGGCTGGAAGTGGATGGATTTGAGGACTCGGGAGTGCCACGGACTGGATGTGGGGCATGAGAAAAAGAGGGTGTGAAACACGACACCCAGGTGGTGGGCGCGAGTGACTGAGGGCAGGGCAGGGCCATTTCCTGAGAAGGGGAAGAAGACTGGGCAGGAGGAAGTTGCGGGAGTGGGTGTAATAGGAAGTGAGCCTTGGGCTAACTTTGAGGTGACTGTTAGATCTCCAGCTGGGGTTATTGGAGAGGCTGTTAGTTCTGTGATTCTGGTGGTTTCACAAAAAGGCTGGTAGAAGTGGATACTTGAGCATCATCAGGAATAGGTGATATTAAAACTCGAGGCAGTGCAGTGTTTAAGCCCAGGTTCTCGACTGGGGCTGTGGCAATGCCCCCCAGGGCACATTTGGCAACAGGTGGGGACGCTTTTTGTCATAACCGAGAGGTGCTCCTGGCATCTAGTGGGTGGAGGCCAGGGATGCTGCTCAGCATCCTAGGGTGCTCACAGGACAGTCCTGCAACAAAGAACCGGCCAGCCTGGAATGTCAGTAATGCTGAGACTGAGAAAGCCTGGTGCGGACCAGGGAGGAGGAGGAGCAAAGATACAGCCGTGAGATTGGAGGGGAGTCTGGAAAGTGTTCATTCCAGGCGGTGGGGTGAGGAAAGGAAATGTTTTAAGGAGTCCCAGCGGGAGGCATCATTTTAGTCGGATGCTTCCAGAAGCTTGGTGCAATAAAGGCAGGTGTGCCACTGGGCTGGGCGTGATGGAAGGCAGCAACCTTAACGGGAGCAGTGAGGAGAGTGGAAGTGAAAGGCAGGCTGGGGAGTTTCAAGAGAGAACAGAAGAGAGACGTCAAGGAGTTGAGACGGGTCTTTGGAGAGTGTCTGCTGCACAGGGAGCTGGGAAGGAAGCGTAGGAAGCAGATCGGATGGAGGACAAGTCTGACGTTCCTGGCTATGAATCCTCCTGTCCTGTTCTCCACTCTTCCACCCCCCTGGGGAAAATGTCTTTAAATCCGGCCAAGCCAGAGAATTCTCTCTCCACCATCAGCAGGAAAGAAAGAACATAGTTCTGTTGAGGATGCATTAAGCCAGATTGCCATGCCTATCACAGGTCACTCGCCAGTGAGGTCACCAAGATAGAAAGAAATCTCACCCTTTTTACAGGCCCGCCCTTAAGAGTCCTTTACACAGCATGTCTTCAACCAAACATAAGTTGGCCTCAAGAAAGAGCCTCTTTTCCTTTTTTTTTTTAAGATTTTTATTTATTTTGGGGGGTGGGGAAGAGAGGGAGAGAAACTTCAGTGTGGTTGCCTCTCACGTGCCCCCTGCTGGGTACCTGGTCCACAACCCAGGCATGTGCCCTGACTGGGAATCGAACCTGCAACCCTTTGGTTCTCGGGCCAGTGTTCAATCCATTGAGCCACGCCAACCAGGGCTGGATCGGCAATCTCAAGCCTGGATCTCCAAAGAAGAAGTGGGTGGGAGCACGGGGGCTTGGGTACTCCGGTGGGGAGGAACAACAGTGATGAGAGGGAGGTTCACTGGGCTTCTGAAAAGAGTAGAGACTCCCAAATCTGAGGGAGGGGGGTCGGGGGGCCTGGGACTCCTAGGTCCTGACACTCTCCCTCCTTGCAGGAGCGCCTGGACCATGCTGCTGAGCGCTTACTGGCACGGCCTGCACCCTGGCTACTACCTGAGCTTCCTGACCATCCCGCTGTGCCTGGCAGCCGAGGGCCGGCTGGAGTCGGCACTGCGGTGGCGGCTGGGCCCGGGCGGCCAGCAGGCCTGGGACTGGGTGCACTGGTTCCTGAAGATGCGGGCCTATGACTACATGTGCATGGGCTTCGTGCTGCTCTCCATGGGCGACACCCTCCGCTACTGGGCCTCCATCTACTTCTGCATCCACGTCCTGGCCCTGGTGGCCCTGGGCCTTGGGCTGGCTTTGGGTGGGGGCAGCCCCAGCAGGCGGAAGACAGCGTCCCAGGCCACCAGCCTTGCCCCGGAAAAGCTCCGGGAGGAGTAAGCTGCCGACACGCCCTCTGGCGGTCGGGCCAGTTGCCAAGCTTCTGCCTGGGGATTCTGTGAACCAGGCCGCTGCCTGCTTTCCCAGAAAGGGTCCGTGGTGTGGCTCAGGGCCTGGGGCCTGGGGAGGGTGCCTGTCTGCACTCAGTACCTGCCCCTCGCGGGCCGCAGCCACCATTCTCTCGGGTTCCCTGCCCGCTGCACTGCCGGCTCCAGAAAGTGTTTCCCTCCTGCAAAATCCAGATGCTGTCTAGACGAGACTCGCTTTGTCCCTGCCAAGGTTTTCAGAGAGCTGAACTCTGGACTCCCCCAGACAGCAGGCACAGGCAGGCAAAGTCCCCTTCTCTGCGTCACAGTCGGGGGAGGAGCTCCAGAGTACGAGGAACCTCTTTCTTGTGGCCTTTGTCCCACTTTTATGTCATCGCATCAGTGTGTCAGGCCTGGAAGGGAACATAACCTTCCATTTCACAAAGGGGAAACTGAGGCGCAGGTGAGCCGGCCTGGAGACTATGATTCCCGCAGCTGCCACCTGAGCCACCTCAGGGTCCCGGTGCTCCTGTAACTCTCTTGTCATCCTGTGACCTGAGATGGCATCCGAGTGTGCTGCTCTGCTCCAATAAAGTATGTGGAAGTGTCTGGCTGGTGGACCAACATGGGGGGGACTCGGGCCACCAAATCCACCGTTCTGTGTCCCGCCCCAGTTCCCAGGAGCCACACTGGCACCTGTGGACTTCAGTTCCCAGGAGACCTTTGGGAGCAGCCGCCCTGAAAGGTTATGGGAAGCGCACGCCATTTTCCCTGGGCCACCTGGTGCCCAGGTAGGACCTGCCCTAGGCCCCGCCCTTCCCTCAGGCAGTGCCCTCCCAGCTGGCCACCGCTAGAGACGGAAACACGGAAACACAACCGCTCCCGGGGCCATGGACGAGAGCCCGGAGTGGGAACCTGAGGCCTGGGGCTCCTCCAGAGGGTGGTCGGCAACCCGGGAGGCCCGGGCAGGTGGGGAGCAGGTGGAATCCCTCGGGCTGGCAGAAGTCCCCGGGGAGGTCAAGAAGGGAGGCCTGGTGACGCCGGGGTCCGGGAGGCAGAAGGGGGAGGGGTCTGATTCCTGGGTTTCTGGGGGAGAAAGGAACTGGAGGTTGGGAATCCAGGGTCCTAGGGAGGAGAAGCCTGGGGGCTAGGACTCAAGGTGTCTGAAGACTGGGAGGGCATGATCCCAAAGTCCTGTATAAAAGGTAAAGGCAGCTGAAGAGTAGGTTCCGGGGTAGGAGGGGCCAGGAGGGTGCACACTGGGTCTGAGGGAGGTGGGGCTGGGGGCCTGGACCCCTGGGTCTGAGGGAGGAGGGGCTGGGGGCCTGGACTCCTGGGTCTGAGGGAGGAGGGGCTGGGGGCCTGGACCCCTGGGTCTGAGGGAGGAGGGGCTGGGGGCCTGGACCCCTGGGTCTGAGGAAGGAGAAGCTGGGGGTCTGTACCCCCTGGATCTGAGGGAGGAGGGGCTGGGGGTCTGTACCCCCTGGATCTGAGGGAGGAGGGGCTGGGGGTCTGTACCCCCTGGATCTGAGGGAGGAGGGGCTGGGGGCCTGTACCCCCTGGGTCTGAGGGAGGAGGGGCTGGGGGCCTGGACCCCTGGGTCTGAGGAAGGAGAAGCTGGGGGTCTGTACCCCCTGGGTCTGAGGGAGGAGGGGCTGGGGGTCTGTACTCCTGGGTCTGAGGAAGGAGAAGCTGGGGGTCTTTACCCCTTGGGTCTGAGGAAGGAGAAGCTGGGGGTCTGTACCCCCTGGATCTGAGGGAGGAGGGGCTGGGGGCCAGGATCCCTGGGTCTGAGGGAGGGGGGTCTGGGGGCCTGGATCCCTGGGTCTGAGGGAGGAGAAGCTGGGGGTCTGTACCCCTGGGTCTGAGGGAGGAGGGGCTTGGTCCTGGTCTCCGGGGTTCTCCCAGCCCCCCTGCCCTCCTCTCCAGGCCCGTCGCTGTCCTCGGTGCTGAATGAGCTCCCCAGCGCTGCTACCCTTCGGTACCGAGGCCCTGGGGTGCTGCCCTGGGGGGCACTGGAAGATGAGGATGGAGAGAGGAGCATCCAGGCCTTCGCAGAAGCCGCCCAGAAGGAGCTGCAAGAACCTGTCCCTTCCCGGGAACTGCCCTGGCCTATGCAGGCCAGACGGGCACACAAGTGAGCCCCACCTGCCACTTGGGCCATCTGTCTCGGCCCCTCTCCAAGCTGCTTCTCTGGGTTTTCTCAGAGAAGAAATGTTTCCCATCTGTGTCTCTGCCTCCCTGACTCTAAGGAACCCTGTGTGTCTGGGGCTCTGGACTCACTTCTTCCTCTGGCAGGTTCCCGTCTTCCCTGGTCTCCTCTCTTCCTCCAGGCCTCTGTCCACCTCTTACTATTTCTGTGTCTGAAACCGGTGTTAGTTTTCCCTCTCTGCCCTATGTCCTCCTCCAAGACTGTCCCTTTCTACTCCTTCCTTTGCTCTCCCCATCTCCAGACTTTACAGGGCTGGGGCAGGGGGGCAGGAAGTAAAAACACTGGGCCTCTAATTGTCAGAGCAACAACAAAAGAAAAAAAAAAAGCACTAGAAACAGGTGCGAGGCCCTAACAAGAATGGGGCAGCTCAGGTGGCCCTTGACATTGACCCTCGTTGCTTTCCCTAATTTCAGCACCAATTCCGATGTGTGTGAGGGGTTTTCCTCACACCCAGGCAATTCCCAGACACCAGCTGGGTGTCCTACAGTTCAAGTCACTTCTGACACCATCGACTTGGAGACAGGGTCAGATCCCACAGGTTGGGATCCCGGTCCCACAAATCCGCACCCACTTCGGACACTACTCACAAGTCCAGTTTGTCGCCGGGGCTCCTTACCAACCCACTGTAGCTCGGAGGTTCCCGCAAGTCCGTCCTTGGCTTTAGTTGGCTAGAGTGGCTCAGAGAAACCTTATGCACAACATCACACCTTTCTTTCCTTTTTCTCCACTCTTTTTTTTTTCTTGCTTACTTTGATGATGGAAAAGAAAACTGATGGAAAGACTCCAAGAGTTCCCCTATAGTGAGAGGCCAGGTGAACCCCACCTGCAGGGAGAGTGAACATCACAGCCCCCCTGTCGCTCCCCTCTCTCCTGGGTCCGCGTCCCTGAAGGGCGGGCTTCCCCTGCGCTGGCTCTGGGACCGTGTGAATAGAACCCCACAGTGTTGCTGTTCTGCCCGCTGCGCCCCTGCTCAGCATCACGCGTTTCTTTCCACCGCTGTAGTATCCGTGTTAGGAGCCTACCACAACGCGCTGTCGGGCTGTTTCTCCACCTGTGCAGTTGCCATTTGCGGCAGCTAGGCCTCCCATTGTACGTCTCTGACTCTGTTCTCTCCCAGGCAGTGCCATGCCAGGGACCAAATGGCTCAGGGTTCGAGGTCCAGGGTGGCCAAGTGGGCCCTGCTGCTTCGGAGGTCCAAGGAGAAGATGCGAGAAGGCCTGCAGTCCTTGCAGCCCTGGGCGTGGACACTGAAGAGGATCGACGGTGCGGTGGCGCTGGGGGCTGGAGTCTCGGGACGGGCCTGGACTCCCGGGTCCGAGGGAGGCGGGGCTGGGGGCCTGGACTCAGACAGGACCCGCGGCCTCTCTGCCGCCCCCTGCAGGTCAGTTTGGCGCGGGCACCAAGTCCTACTTCTTGCTGCTGCGCTTCTTGCTGCTTCTCAACGTGCTGGCCTCGGTGTTGAAGGCCTGTATGACGCTGCTGCCCACCTGGCTGGACGGGGCTCCCCCGGGTCCCCCTGACCCTGACGTTTCCTCACCCTGCGGCTCCTATAATCCCAACTCCGAGGGCCTGGTTTCCTTCTCCTCCCAGCTCTTCAACCTGCTCTCCGGAGAGGTGAGTGCCTACCCCCTCTTCCCACGTCAGGGAGACCCTCTCCGAACACCCCCGACCCCTGACCGCCCCCCAGCCCCACGATGACTTCTGCCGCGTCCTTCCCTCCCCAGGGTTATTTGGAATGGTCCCCTCTCTTCTATGGGTTCTACCCACCACGCCAGCGCCTGACCATCACCTACCTGTGCTCCACCTTCCTCATCGGCCTCCTCTCCCTGCTGCTCATCCTGCGCCGGTGAGTGCCACCCCGCGCACACGCAGACCCCCGACCCTGGGGCCGCAGTGGTGCTCGCAGCCCGCTCCCCGGGAGTCCTGAGTCTTGCTCTGTGATGCTTTTCTCGCTGTTTGAGCTGATATCCGTGTTTTAAATGCTTCGTACGTGCTTAGGGCCTAGGGATAACAAAGGGAAGTTAGCCCCACCTGTGGCTAGTGAGGTAGGTATGCTGTAAACAAGGAAGCAAATTAACTACACTTTTTTTTTTCTGAAAGGGAAAAGCGCCAAATAGCAAACAAATAGCAGTCATTCATTGGTTCATTCACGCATGCAACAAATATTTACTGAGCAGCGGCTGTGTGCTGGACACTGTTCTAGGCAGCGGGCCAATCAGACAATGGAACGAGCAAACAAAAAGTCAACAGATCACGTACTTGTGGACCTCACACCTTAGCCAGGAGACAGGTGACAAGCTGAGGAGGGCCTCTGTCTCTCCCTTGGGCGCCTGATCTCCCCCGGGTCTAGCTCGGAATTTCTCTCTCGGACTGTGTGGTTCAGAGGACTCCTCAATTCTCTCTCCACCAGTTGGCAGCTCGCCTTAGAGTGTCTTTTACCTTGTTGTCCCCCCTGCTCTGCCTGGCCGGCCACATCATGTCTCCTGGGTCTCCCCTCTCTTAGCTCCGTGTCCGGGCTGAAGCAGACGTTGTTGGCCGAGTCTGGGGTCCTGACCAGCTACAGCCACCGGGTGTTCTCTGCCTGGGACTTTGGCCTCTGCGGCATTGTCCACGTGCGGCTGCGACAGCGCCTCATCCGCTACGAGTTGCAGGTGCGCTTAGGGGGCGGGGTCTACAACTGGACAGGCACCTGGGACGGCAGAGCTGAGAGAAAGGGCGGGGCCTAGACCAAGGATGGGACGTCAGGAGAGATGCTGGGTGGAGCTTTCTTCTCAGAAGGCGGGCCTTGGGGAATGCAAGTGTGGAGGGGTCTGGGGGAGGCTGAGGTCATGCTTCAGGTCCAAGGAAAAAGCTACCATTAGGAAAGAGGCGGGGCCTCAAGCTCCTTGGTTCAAAGTTGAGAAGGGTATGGACAGAAAGGGTTCGATAGGGTAGAATTGGAACTTGTACCAAGGCGCGAGTACTGGGTGTGGCCTCGTGGGGGCGTGGCTTGGATGCTGGGCGGGGCCTCGGAGGGACTGGGCCCGGAGATCTAAATTGTCACCGGGAGGGCTCTGGAGAGGCTGGAACAAAGCTTATAAAAGTCCTTTGAAGGGTGTGGCGCCCTGGCTGGTGTAGCTCAGGCAACTGAGTACTGACAGTACCACAAACCAAGGGGTCTCCAGTTCAATTCCCAATCTAGGGGCACGGGAGAGGCAACCACACCACACACTGGTGTTTCTCCCCCACTCTTTCTCCTTCCCTTCCCCTCTCTCTAAAAATAAATAAATAAATAAATAGATTTTTTTTTTTTTAAGAAAAAGGTGGTGCGGGGGTTGCTACATCACTTGGAGTTGAGCTGGGGCTCCCGGCCACCGGCTGGGCCTGGGGAAATGGCACCCTAGCGGATGTGTCTCGGGGGCTTAGGTGGAGCTGGAGGAAGCAGAGGTGCGGCGCAGGGCTGCGGTGCGGACTCTGGGCCAGCAAGCCGGGGTGTGGTTGGTGCGGGCGCTGCTCAACCTGCTGGTGGTCGCGCTCCTGGGGGCAGCCTTCTACGGCGTCTACTGGGCTACGAACACCACCGTGGAGCTGCAGGTGTGGAGAGGCCTGGGGCGAGAGGGTCTGGGCATCCGGAATCGACATTGCTGGGGTGGGGGGGGGGGGCTGACTTCTGTGATTTCTGGGATGTTAGAGAGGAGGGATGGCGGGGTTATGTTTGGAACTCAGATTTTAGGGTGCTGGAGGAAGAGGCTGGGGGACCACCTTTCAGCCCAGCTCCGCCGGAACCCCAGAGCCTCTTCCCTTGCCCACCTCCCCTCCCAGGAGTGGTCCCTTACCCAGCAGATGCCGCTGCTAAAGCTTGGGGTGGATTACCTTCCGTCCATCTTCATCTCCGGGGTCAACTTGGTGCTGCCGCCAGTGTTCAAGCTCATTGCCCCTCTGGAGGGCTACACCAGGAGCCGCCAGATCATTTTAATCCTGCTCAGGTTGCAGCCTTGGGGGGTGTGGCTGGGGGTGATGGTGCAGCGGGTGTTTCAAGGGATGTTGGTGCCAGCAGGGAAGACTCGGAACTCCCAATGATATGGGGTCCAGCGAAATTTGGATTCAATCCTGGCTTTCTGTCACTGAGCCTCGGTTTCCTCATCTGGCACTCCGTCCAGGCTGGTACCCTTTTTCTCTTTTGCTAGGACCGTGTTTCTCCGCCTGGCCTCTTTGCTGGTCCTGCTCTTGTCACTGTGGAGTCAGATCACTTGCGGGGGCAATGCAGAGGATCCGGCGTGCAAGGCCTGTGGCTACAATTACAAAGAACTCCCGGTGAGTTCTTTGTAATTGTACAAAAATGGGGCCCGGACAACTGGGTCCTCCCTCAGACACCTGGTTTGGGAGGAAGGAGGAAGTAGGGCTGGAAGACTCCCAAGAAAGTCTCATACGCTTGTGACTTGGAGACTTGGATGCTTGGGCCTCTGGGTGCCCGAGTCCTGAGGTCATCCTTACCCCTTTTCCCCTTCCTCAGTGCTGGGAGACTCGGCTGGGGCAAGAGATGTACAAACTCCTGATTTTTGATCTGCTGACTAGCGTGGCCGTGGCACTGCTCATCCAGTTCCCTCGGAAGTGAGAGCCCCGCCCTTCACTGTGGCCCCGCCCTCTAGGAAACAGGCCCCGCCCCACCATTCAGTGCTCTCCCACTTTGCCTTTCAAGTGCCGCCTCCGTTCCGTTTCTTTGCCCCTTCCACGTGTTAGATAACTTCTGCTGGCCCCGCCCAGGCCACACCCCCTCCAAGATGCTTGCCAGCTACGCCCCTCAGATAGGCTCACTTTTGATTGGTAGGCAGGATGGTGGAGGCGGGAACCCCCTGGCTGGCACGTGAATGACTCTGCCCGCCCCCGCCCCTCAGGCTGCTCTGTGGTCACTGTCCTGGGGTGCTGGGTCTTGTGGGGACCCAGGAATTCGAGGTGCCCAATGAGGTGCTGGGGCTCATCTACACGCAGACAGTGACGTGGGTGGGGAGCTTTTTCTGCCCTCTACTGCCTCTGCTCAACACAGCCAAACTCCTGCTGCTCTTCTACTTGAAAAAGGTGAGGGGTGGGGTCTGTGGGAGGAAGGGACTGAGGGATGTGACTGGGTCCTGAAGGACTGACTCCTGCATGTAGGAGAAGGAGGGGTCTAGGGCGTCCCAGCTTTTAAGTCTGAGGGAAGAAGGGACCTGACTCTGGGGGACTCCTGAATCCTGAGTGAGGAGGGGCTGGGGCAAGGATTCCTGGACACGGAAACAGACTAGGGTCCAGACGCTTGTGTCTCAGATTCCCTTCCTCCCCTGCCAGGTCGTCCTCTTCTCCACCTGCTCCCCAGCCTCCCGCACCTTTCGGGCCTCCATGGCGAATTTCTTTTTCCCCCTGGTCCTTCTCCTGGGTCTGGCCATCTCTGCCGTTCCCGTGCTTTACAGTATCTTCCTGTAAGTGTGAGAGGCGTGTGCCTCTCTGCGCCTCACTGTGCCCTCATCCAGGATCCTGATTCTTGGCCATTCCTGAGCTCTGCCCGTCTCTGACTTCAGGATCCCACCTTCTAAGATGTGTGGTCCATTCCGGGGGCAGTTGTCCATCTGGGCCGAGATTCCTGAGTCTATTTCCAGGCTCCCTCAGGGCACCCAAAACTTCCTCTTCTTTTTGGGGACCCAAGCTTTTGCTGTGCCCCTTCTGCTGATCTCCAGGTGAGAGGGCCCAGACAGTTGGGCTTTAGTTTGAATGTATGTGATCTGGGGGCTCCACTGCCTGCGTCCGACAGAGGAGGGGGGCCGAGGTCTAAACTCCTGGGTCTGAAGAAAGGAGGGGGTTGTGTGCCCCGATTACTGGGTCTGAAGGAGGGAGGGTGGTCCAGACCCCTGGTTTCTAACATCCATACATTGAAGATATCTAAGAGCCTTTCTGCACCCTCTAGCATCCTGATGGTGTACACCCTGGCCCTGGCTAACTCATATGGACGCCTCATCTCTGAGCTCCAAAAGCAGATCGAGACGGTGAGCCAGGCCGGGTCCCTGGGAAGGAGTCCTGGGGGATATGGAAAAGGACACGGGAGGGAGAAGGTCTGTTTCACCTCCATGCCTTTCTACCCTTTACCTCAGGAGGCGCAGAATAAAGTCTTCCTGGCACAACGTGCTGTGGCGCTGAGCTCGGGCACCGGAGCTCTTTGACTTCCCTTGCCTGGCTCAGGGTGACGTCCCACTTTCCAACCCAGATCTGCTGCAAACCCTTTGTAAGCTTCGGCCACGTCATCTAGAAAATGGGAGAACTGAAGATTACACTTCCTTCCAGCCCGGGGATTTCGAAATTTTCAGGGCCGTGGACACCCTGACTGTTCAGTGAATCTCATTCTTGAATCAATAAATGCAGCGGAGTCAGCTGAGCTCTCTTTGAAACTTGCGGGCTTCGGTGGGGCACAAGTCAATCAAATGTATTGGTCTAGAGATGATCTCTGGGGCGTGCTAGCCAATCAGAGGCCCCGTCGTATAAACGTCGGAAGTGAGTGCAGTTGTGATTTGCTCATAACCCGGACGCCTTAGCTAGGTGAAGCCACGCCGATTCGCGGCGTTGGAGGTGGGGGTGTGTGTCAATTAACCCAGGACCAATCCGTGGCCGAGACAGGAGTAACGAGGCGGGGCATCCCCTTGCCTACCGGAAGTGCCAGAGGGCGGGTCTGCTGGTCTGTGGACTTCAGCGGCGCCATGAACATCTTACCTAAGAAGAGCTGGCACGTCCGGAACAAGGACAATGTCGCCCGTGTGCGGCGTGACGAGGCTCAGGCCCGGGAGGAGGAGAAAGAGCGTGAGCGGAGGGTACTGCTCGCTCAGCAAGAGGTACCCATCAAGAGCGGCCTGGCGAGGCTCCTGGGCCTAGCGCGCAGGCGCCCGGGGAGGGACCGGAAGTGGGGACGCTGCGAAGGTGCGGTGAGCAGGGCACCTATGGAACTGGAAGCGGGTTTCCGCGGAACCTTCCTCCCCCTCGTTTTTCTCGCTAATGTTCTTTGTAAGGCCAGAGCGGTGCCTGGCACAGAGTAGGAATTTGTGAATAAAGGAACCCCTGGGTAGTTTACGAAACTTGGACCACGTTTTAGTTTGTTTGCGGTGTATTTATTGAGCGCCTACTGGATGCTCGCCCTGCGCAGAACGCTTGACTTGCGACATCCCTCCAGCACCGTTCGCAGTTAGAAAGGCGCTGTCAGTCAGTCGCATGGTGCAGAGGAGAGATGGCTTCAGAGAGGACGCCACAGCGAAAACGGACAAGCCAGTGCCGCTCTATGGAGCAAACTCTTTGCACTGTCCCTTCCACACAAACACCTGAGGCTCTGTTTATAGTTCCTTCACCTGGTTTGCACCTGTCAGTCCTTTAGCTAATCTGGTTTTCATCACTGACTCGGAGTTAGTCTGGGTTTTTAAAATTCGCGTTTCAGCAGAGAATGAACAGCGACTGGGATACTGACTTGGAGCCCTGCCTGGAAGTTAGATCTTCCGTCCTAATACAGGTTTTAGCTGCCTTCATATTCATAGTTGTCTTTATTGTGTAAGATGCCCCATTCTCCTACCCTGTCTCTATTGTGTAAGATGCCCCATTCTCCTACCCTGTCTCCAGGATGGAGCAGGTGTCTCTTCTGGGCCCCCAGCACCGTGGACTGCAATTCCCTGTGGCCAGCACCAGACTCATGGTTCCTCAGATCACATGTAGGTTCTGAATGTTTCATCGGTAACTCTGCTCCCCCCCACCCCCCACCAGGCCCGCACAGAATTCCTACGGAATAAAGCCAGGCATCGGAACTCGCTACCTGAACTTGAAGTAGCAGACCCAGGAGCTCCAAGTTCTGGCCCTGTGGACCTGTTTCGGGAGCAGCTGGAGGAAGGGAAAGGGGTGACCAGAAGCAACAAAGAGTATGAAGAAGAAAAGCGGCAGGAGAAAGTAAGCTGGCCTACTTCATCAGTCATGGATAGAGGGGACACTGCCCCCACTGTGACTAGCAGGAGCCTAGGGAACGGGTGGGGGTTAAGTGATCTAGGAGACTGAGAACAGAACCAAACAGCACTCAAGAAGTGCTGGTTATAGCCATCCAGGCCCACAGAGGCTTGGAAGGGGAAGCTGGAGTTTCCCAGTTCTGAGGCTGCAGGTGTAAACCCCTCAGGTCTTCAACCTGATGTCAGGATGTAGGGAAGGGATTTGGGGAGTGAAGGAGCTTTGTTAAAATGTAAATCAGATCCTGTCTCTCACCAACCAGCCCTCAGGGATGAACTTGCCCCCGCCATCACTTCTGTCTTGGTTTTTCCAGGCTTTTCTTTGTCCCCAAACATGCCCTCTTTTGAACCCTAAAGCAGGTCCACCCCATCCTGCCTACCCCTGCACCTCAAGTGCAGGAGCCCCACCTATGTTGCTCTCCTGTGTCCCCAGTGGCTGGTAAAGTTGGTTCATGCTAGGTCTTCCACAGTTAATGGCCGAGTGGTTCTGCTTTCTCAACCATGGTGTCCCCATTGGCACATTCAGGGCTCCCTGAAGGGAGATACACTCGACAAGCTTCCGGATTTTCTCTATTTCCCCTCAGGAGAGGCAGGAGAAAGCGCTGGGTATCCTGACATACCTGGGCCAGAGTGCAGCGGAAGCCCAGACTCAGCCCCCTTGGTACCAGCTGCCTCCAAGGCGAGGGTCACCCCCACCTGGCCCGGGACCAGATGTGAAGGTCAAGAACCGCCTGGACCCTCTGCTGGAGATGCAGAAACATTTGGGGAAGAAGAGGAGACACAGTGGTGACCATGGTGGTCACAGCAAAAAGGAAAAGCAGGGGTCAGAGAAACAGCGGCCCAAAGAGTAAGAAGGAAGCCTGTGTGGGTGATAGGATTGGCTGGGCAGAAACAGGGTTCTCCGCAACCCTGAGAGCCCGACTCCTCTTCAAGGGGGAGGGCTCAGCAAGGTTAAGTCTGTTTCTGTAGCAACACCATTTAGCTTTCCACTCTTATTCTTAAGGGTGAGGTTGAGGTTCCCGGAGGCTGCTCATGTGGGAAGGTGCCACTGCTCTGATGGTTAGTGGGACATACGTGTGTTTTAAGATTTGTTTTCATTTTCATTTGTTTTATAATATGCTGAATGTTAACATAAAATCTATGGGCACAAAAGCTGGGGGGTCCTTGAGTTTTAAGAGACCCAAATTTGAGAACCATGGGGTTAGAGCACAACAGGCCCGTGTGACCAGGACGGCAGGCCCTGAACATACCAGACGGGGAGTGCTAACCAGCCTTCTACAGAAGGGGAGAGGCCCAGAGACCCAGCATGTGCTCAGCATCACACAGCTGATTAACAGCAGGCTTTTTTGATCTGAAGAGGCACCCGACTGTTGAGATGAGAGAGGACAGAGCCCCACAGAAGGGGAGGCCCACATCCTTGCCCCTGGTATGAGGCCAACTTCCTGGTCCCAGGGGCTTCATGTGCCAAGCCCAGGAGCACGTTACATGCAGGCAGGGGGTACAGGTGGCAGCTCCCTCCCGGAGGCTGGGGCCTCTCAGGGTCACCAGCTTTCTAACCCAACTCTTCATCCTCCAGATCCCTGTCCCTGGATCAGCTTAGAGCTGAACGTCTCCGGCGAGAAGCAGCCGAGAGGGCACGGGCAGAGGCTCTGCTGGCCCGTGTCCGAGGCGGGGCACCCCAGGAGGAGCAGCCAGAAGAGGAGGCGGATGATCGGCGGAGGCGGTACAACTCCCAGTTCAACCCCCAGCTGGCTCGGCAACCCCGCCGGCAGGATCCCCCTCTGGCTCACTGACTCTTGAGGGGTACAGGAGAGGCTGCTGCCAGCCGTCATATAAAACTATTTATTCATAAATATTTTCCAAAATGAAAATAGGTTTACCAAAAAATGTCCCTCACTGGGGAGGGGAGGAGGGGGCAGCCCTCACCCCCAGGCCAGGGCTGAGAGGAAGAGAACCTCCAGGTCCCCTTCTTGCTTCCTGGGGGAGGGGGCTGCCCCATAGCCTGGGGCCCCCCCATCTTCCAGGGCAGGGCCCTCACCTGGGTAGGGCATCAGCATGCGGAGGGGAGAGGGAGAATGGAGGGAGGGGCTGGTGTCACTGGAGGTCCCGGTCCTCCAGGTATCGGTACTCAAAGGTGAAGCCTTCCTTCTTCCGCTGGCCCCACTTCTCGTAGTCAAAGTAGATGTAGGTGCCCTGGCCAGGGGAGAAGGCGGTCAGTAAGTGGACAAGGAGGTAGGCCAAACTGGCAAAGGGGACCGTTCTCAGGGCCATGGATATGACAAGTACCAAGCCCTGTCTCACTCCACCCTGGCCACAGTCTTTTCAGATAGGAAAGATGATCACACCCGCTTCAGAGGTCATGGAGGCAGGCACAGTAGTCATATGCCAGAGCTGGGCCTTGGCCCCGGGCACGTTTGCGACGTCTCTTCTCAGGACAGCTGTAGGTAGCTTTGAGCAGGCGATGCATGTTCTAGCACTGCATCTTCGCAAACTCCCTCAGGCCATTACCATCCCTAGCGATGCAACAGGCCATCTACGGGACAGACGGTTTCTCTGGGTGACAGGGGTGATGTGGGACTTTCTGAAGGAATGATGCCTGGATATGCACTAACTTGGCTGATTGCTTTGGACCCAACCAGGAGGGGACAGGAAGTCTGTAGTGTCAGAGAAGGTACCGTGGGAGTGGGGCTTGGTTTCTGAAGGGCCGAGATGCTTCAAAGAGCCTGTAAAAACTGAGGGGAGGGGACTGAGTGCTCTATGACAAGGACCTATTCAGTGCTTGCATCACACAGGTGTTTGGTGGAAAAAGCACTAGAGCCAACTATAAGCACGCAAACAAATACAACACGCCTGTGCCGCTGCTGCGGGCACCATCAGGTACACACATGTGGTTAACTCGTTTAATCCTCACAACTGCATTAGAGTGGGTCCTGTCACCCCGTTTTTAACAGAAAAGGCAACAGGGTCAAGTGACTTGCCAAGGTCACCTAGCTACAGTGGGGTTCAGACCCGGGTGGTCTCCCCCTTCAGAGTGTTTTTCAAAAAGTCCCAATCAATTAATTGAAACTAGAAAACATCATTTTAAAAAGAAACAGCTTCCCCATTCATATTTGCTGAGTGCTGGGGACATGGGGTAAGGAGGCCACCAAGGTCTCAGTACAGTGTACTCTTAAGAGGGAGACAGCCCACACCCCTGTGCCGGCAGAGGCGCCCTCAGGAAGGGGCATTTAGGGTAGGGCCTACAGGACGACTAGCAGTTGGCCTACTGAAGAGTGACAGGACAGGTCCCAGGCTGAGCTGGCTGAAGGTGGTAGTGAAGGGAAGGGGGCCAAAAGGAGTATGAGGGGCCCAGGGTGGGGCCTCACCTGCTCAAACTCATCAGTGATGGTCTTGGGCTCCTCATGCCTCTGGAACCACATCATGTACTTGGTGTGGAATCGCCACGACTGCTTCTTCAGGGCCTTAGCTGCCAGGTACTGTGCCTTAGTGCCCTGGGAGAGGAAGGACGGAGCAAGGGATCAGAGGGCCCCTCACACTGGCAGAGTGACGGGGACGGGCAGGGCTTCAGGGCTGGCCCCAGGCCCCACCACAGACTGAGGATGGGCAGGGCTCTCCAACAGGAGCGGGGAAGGGGCAGGAACGTACCAGTGCTGGTCGGAAGGGAAATGAGACAGGTGGGAAGTGCTTCCAGAGAAGCGTTGAGAAGAGAAACTAATACATGGAGTGCTCAGAGGAGGCAGCTTACAAAGCTCCCCAGGGCAGGATGGGGACAGAAGTTTTTTGTGCTGCCCTGGGGTGACGCAGAGGCTGCACACGCTACTAGTGAGTAGCTGGCAGGGACAGCTAAATTGGGGATGGGCACTGCAAGTGGGACAACCTAGCCCTTGACCTCTCTCTCCCTCGTGTTGAATTGGGATAGGGACTGGTTTGGTTTGCAGGGCCCAGGACTGGGGAATGGGGAGGGGTGCGGTCCCGGTGGCCGCAGTGGGGCACCCACCTCACCCCTCCAGCCCGAGGGGGAACGGCGGCGGTGGCGGCGAAGCCGGGGGGCCCGAGGCTGCCCCGGGGGCCCTGCTGTACCTCCAGATAGTAGAAGATGAAGAAGAGCGTCTCGGTGGACAGGCGCTGGTAGAACTCCACGGTGTCCGAGTGCGGGGGTGGCATCTGGTGATGGTAGGGGGGCGTCGGGCAGGGGTTCCGGGGGAGGTACTGTCTGTAGGGGGTGGGATGCATTAGTGCCAGTGCCTGCTGCCCTGCCATCTAGAAGGTGTCAGAAGGCCACCCCCTCATCTGACCTCATAACCCTGCTGCCCTCACGAATCAACAGGAACACCCTGGTCACCTGATCACCCCAGCATTAAACTCCTCAGCCCCCACCTACTGTGGGGAGCCCCAAGTCAGGTGTCCAGCAAACTTTATCTAGGCTCAAGACTGGAGAACCAGATTCCCCGGGCCCCTCACCTGATCCGCTCCGAGTCGGAGGGGTGGGGCATGTGGTGCCAGGCAGCCTCCTCCATCGCCTGCTGGTAGAGCTGCTCCTTGGTGAGGGGCACGGGCCCCAAGGGGCACACCCCCAGGGACAGCGGTATGTTCACCTCTGACAGTTGTAGGGGCGGCTGGGCTGAGGCCGGAGGTGCTGCTGTGCTGCTCAGGATGATGTCTGTGGGGACAGGCAGGGCCGGGCCGTTGGGTGAGGCTGGGTGGGGCGCCCTTCTTCCTTGCTGGGCTGCCCCCACTGTGCCCGGACCCTCACCTCGCTCAGTCAGGTGCAGTGTCGGCACAGGGTCCTCGATGGCGGAGCTGAGAGCTGCCCGCTCTGCCATGGACTTCAGGGAGCTCAGGGGCTCAGGGGCCTGGCGGGGGGGGAACAGGTGCTTTAAGCCCGAGGGCAGATGGCTAGTGCAGGCACTCGGAGGCCCGTGCACCTTCTCCTGCTCTGACAGAGGGCAGCAAAGCCAAGGCCGTTAGTGTGAGACAGTGCTCACCACGGACCCTTAACTGGGGGGAACTGGACACAGAAGCACGCACCAGCAGGGCACCAAGTCCCCACATCAATATCAGACACTACACAGGACGATGCACTGCAGAGGACACATCGCCTGTGGTGTGTGCACATGCCACACCACTCGTCACACTTGCAGGAGCACACTTCTCTGTCCTGCACCTCCCTCAGAAGGACCTCCGTCATACCATGCCCCACAGGCTGGCCTGTCCTCACTGGCCTAGACCTTCACAGCACCCTCCCTCCGTCCTGCTGTCCCTGGGCTCACAGGAACCTCTCCGCCAGGTGCATCTGTCCTTTCTTCACTGAACCTTCCGCAGGCTCCCACCCCTCATCCTTTCCTTTCGGGAACCTCACAGCTGCTGACCCTGCTCCAGGAACGTGAACCCACATGTACTTCCTGTCCTTTGTTCCTCTCCAAGGTGAGTGCTCGCTCTGGGCCCAAAGCTTCCCAGAGCTCTGTGAGGACCACTTAGCCTTCGGGGCAATGTCACATATGACAGCTGCTACATTTCTTGTGAAGGGAGGAACAGAGGGCCATGTGGGCTTGGACCCGGTCAGCTGGGGACTCAGGCTGCCCCGGTGGAAGTGAGTTTATCTTGCAGGGACTAGGAAGTCAGCTCCATATCTGGCTGATGCCATTTCAGACCCTGGTGTTTGGGACCCCTGCCGTCTACAGCAATACCCCACTATCTGGCCCAGCAGCCCCTCCTGCAGAGTGGATGCCCTTTGATCCTCTGTGCTGAACCCCACCCACCCTTCTAAAGACCCCTCTGACGTCAGCCCACCTAGAGATGCAGCACAGACACCTACTTCTCCCTCCATCAGCCTTTCTTGCCACTGTGACCCCAGCAGCCCTGTCCATCTTAGATTTGCCCCCCTGCCAAGAGGCCTTGCATGGCTCTCTCCACAGGTTCAGTCAGATGCACCAAGTGGGTCCACAGCACCCTCAGCCCTGCTGGGACAGTCCCTGTCTGGCGGACTCTGCTCTGTACACAGAAAGCAGAAACTGGGGGCATTCACTTAGCACAAACCAGGGCAGATGCCGACAAGCGTTTTCTCAACTTAAATGATCTCAAGGAACCAGGAGGGCAGAAAGCCGGGAGGCAGGGAGAGAGCGGAGAGAGAACAGCGGCAGAGTGCCAAGGGGAGAGGTGGGGGCAGGCAGTGAAGGTCTGGGGCAAAGCTGGCAGGGGCAGAACGACACACAGGCTCTGCACGCACCTTGATCTCTGGGGTGGCACTGAACTGTGGGGGTCCATTGAGCAAGGTGCCAGCTGCCTTGGCATCACTGAAGCTGGGTGCTGGGGAGCTGGGAGGGTTCACAGGCAGCGGCACCAGGAGGCTGGGTCCCCCAGCGCTGTTCCCTGAGCCTGGGGCCACGCCCCCAGTGCCCGCGGGGGCGGCTGCACTGGGTTCTTTCCTGTAGAGGGGACAAGGGCAAGGGACTCAGAGCAGTGTCCCCAACAGGGAGATGGACGGGGAGGATGATAAGGGGGAGTCAAAACAGGGGAAAGACTAGCAGACAGGACCCACGAGGAGCAGGCTGAGAGAGACAGGTGGGTGGGGAAGGCTCTTTGGGCAAAGGAACAGCTACAAGGTGGCAAAAAGGACTCAGGACGCTCTGAGGAGACCATGTGGCTGGAATTCACTGGGAAACACACTGGCCTTCCGGAATGGTCCACAGAAGAGGGTATGGGAACTGGCGTTCCAACCACAAAGCAGGGTGCCTCAGGCACATGCCCACCTTGGAAGCCCACCCAGACCCCAGGGCCAAGGTGCCTGGGAGCA